TAGCAGCGATCGGCGAGCGCGTCTGGCGTAGCGCACACCACTTATCAGCCTAACGAACTCGAGTCGACTAATTCGAGAGCTCTAGTGCGAGCGAGCGGCGCGCTACTCGCCAGACTGGACGCTCTCTTCTTCCTCTCTCTCTCTCTCTCGCTCCAAGCGGACAAGACGAAATAAAGACGCACCCGCGCGCCGCTCGCTCTCGCTCGACTGCGCCGGCCGCCGCCGCATTCGAAAGACGAGCCTGAGCGACCGGACAGCACACACGTACAGGCGCGGGGCCTCGCGTGTTCGCGCACCGATGCGCCAATGTGCGTCTGCCAGGCCCCTCCCGACCGTACCTATGTCTCTGTGTCCGTGTGCGTTTATCGCCAGATATGTACCTGCGGGTGTGTCCGTGCATCGACGATGACTCGGTTTTCTGCCCGCCCGGCACTTTTTCAATATTTTTCTCGTGTCTCATCGACCGAGCTCTCTCGTACGCTCTCGGTAGTTACTCATTTACCATCTAATATTCATTTAATCAAGTATTAATAATTTGTACTCGAAGACAATCTTATTCCGTTGACGTATAACATATCCCGTCTATATAGCCACAGCGGCCAATTCGAAAGCTTGTTAACGTGCTGCTCTCGTTGCGGGCGAACGAGAGAGAAAGGCTACGCGCGATATGACTGCAAAAGTCGATCTGAAAGCCCGATCGTTCGTACCGATAATTTCATGGACTGTTTCAATTTTTTAGCACTGCTGGATTGCACAGCTCCTTATGAAGCTATGTCCTTCGTTACTTACACACACTCGCTATCTCGTTACGACGGAGTTGTACAGTCATGTGCAATTTTCAGATCCAGAATTTCACGAGCACGGAAGTGTAATCGGGTAAATTGATCGTTGCCGCAGGAGATTGCACTCGCAGCTGCAGTTTCGCGAGACAAGCGACAGCAACAGAGCTCTATCGCGATCGCTCGCAGGTAGCCCAGTCATCGCGTGTCACTCCCAAGGCCGATCGAGGCGATTTATGCATCGGCGCAACCAAGAGACGATCAAGGCCGCGCTATTTTGCTCTCCTTCGCGCAAACGAGGCATCTCAGCGCTGCACGCGCTCGACGCCAAAAAGGCTCGCGTTGGTTCGATCAACAACAGCGACGTACTCGTACGTGTACGGACGTACAGCGCTCGCTGAAATCACTGATGCGCGTTAATTGTTATTATACCGGGATCCGGAGACGAACGCACTCGCAACGCCACGCCGGTCACGGTCAGCGGAGCTTTTCATTTCGGCTGACGGACCGCGTTATCGTTCTACTTTTATTCGTTCAAGTGCGCACAGACCTGATAATCAATTTACTGCTCCGGAAAACTTCACGCATGTTCATAGCCAATTCGACATGCCCTATTTTCACTTTTCAAACAGTCGGCCGTCGAGTACACTCTCGCGCGGATTGCGCAATATTGCTGGCTAAAACTTCGCGAGCAACTTGTCTCGCATCAACTTTTGCCGGCTATCAACGTTGTCACGATTTTATCTTTCGCACGACCGAGCCTTTGGAATTTGCAAATATCCGATTAGTCATCTGTATGCGAAGGACGCGCATGACATTCCGTACCATTTGCCGACATAATCAGACGAATAAAGACAGATGCGGGGGTCTGCGTGGACTCGGGAGACTCAGTGAAAAAGAAGTAAATCGTACTGTTCCAAGCTCAAGCGCGTCATGAGTCATATCCCACGACTCAACACATTCCATCGCGATGCCACAATCGTCATCGGTCAGTAACCGTGTGTCTAAACTCACATGGACACGTAAACACTCGTATGCATTTTGATTAATTCTATTGTCAGGCTAATAATAGCAGGCGATTTTCATCGAGCAAAAATTGTACACACTATGTTGGGTCGAGAGTGTGTTTGATGTGAGCTTGCTATAAAATAATACCGGGTTCAATACATCCAAGGGTATTTAATTTGTTACTAAACGAAAAATTGTTTTGCATTTTTTGATATCTATTGAGCAATAATAAAGTACTGTAGAAGAATATACCTGGACAATAATATTTCACAACGACTAAAGCATGTAATACTAAACAACTAATAGTTCAACGTGTACTTACCTCCAAACTTGTGTCGTACGTCGTTTTATATTCATTTCGCTGCAAACTAGTATTATATATAGAAAAGACATGCATAACATTCAATTGCACCAGGACGCCGTACATAATAAGCAAATATCGACAGCCACATTTGGTAGGAGATAGCTTTGCCAATATTTGAAAAATATTTCTAAATCACATATCTATGAATAAGTGTATATATACTTATTATACTTATTCCAAGATATGCTATTGCATCACTAAACTAGCTACTTAAGTATTCCTAAAATGACTAAGGTGCATATATTTGATTAAACGTTTAAAAAATATACAAGAAATAAAAATATTCAAATTCATTTTGCAAGTGCTTCAAATAAAATAAGTTTATTGATATACGAAAGTGCGTAGGAATTATTCGCTCACTTATTAGGACTGAATATAAGGCGCAAAAAGCGTAAAATAAATCGAGACATAGATAAATATATTACGGAAATATTTATTCATATATATATATATATATATTAACGATTTGTATAAGTTTATGTATACCTATAATTTAATTGTACATTAAAAACATATATATACTTTGTTTAACCTTGTGCGCTTACGCATATATAATCTTCCAATAAATTTATAAATTAATTATTTCTTTCAAACAAAACTATTGCAAAATAATCGAATACATAATGATGCTCTTTACATAATTATATTAACAAAATGAAACAATATGAAAATAAAATTTGTTAAATATATGTCGATATAGTGAATATTGAATTAGTGCAATAACAGAATATAAATATATCTATAGGGTAATAAAATGTTACACTATCGAAAGATTTTGAAGTTACACCTAATTTCGTATTGTATACATACAAGAATAATTTTCAACACTTGAATACACGCGAATTAAGACCAATTATTATAATATCTTTTGCCGGAAGTTTCTATGAAGGTAACAGTCATGTTATATTTATTCTTTTTTGCAATATCATGTCTTATTGAATAATAAAATGCAGAAACATTGAATGATTATACAGGTAAAAATGCTATTCAAAAATATATTTTGTAATTATAAAGATAGTATTTAAAAAAAACTATTGTGTATTTGACAGCATTTAAAAAATTGTTTAATAAACGCTAAAACATCAATTTCTTTTCAGCAATCATTCATTGTTCTAAATTCCTGCAAATTATTATCGCTATTCTTATAAAAGTGCTTATATAGAAATAACAAAAATTAATTTCTTTTGTATTTCATCGAGGATATAAACTAATCTATACTCTAATCTTTCGAAATCAAACGCTCAGCAGTACCATTATTATCTACTTTTTAATAATATAATACTAAGGTAAGATGTAAATTATATTTTTACATTGAATAGAATCAACTAATACTAGTGCATCTATAATGCGGATATGACTCATCGAATTTAATTCTCGGATGAATTTAAAAGAGATCATAGAACAATTAATCGTTTGCGGGCACAGCAATAACTTTCTGAAATGGAATTCACAATTTCTTGCCATTATACGGAAGAATAATTTTAATTGCACAGCTTTGAAAGGTATGGCAACGCAAAAAATTATATAGTCTTTATTTGATAATCACAGATTATATTTTAGATAGAATTGTGTCATTAAATAGCAGGAACTATCAAGTTCGCTCGTGTTTAACATCACATATTCGTTATTAGGAAAGAAATGAATATAGAATTAGAAGATGAAATCGTGCGGACAATGAAATGGTCTACTTTTATCTGCATAAATGAGAGAGCGACGTATGCTAAAATTTTAACGCGTATTCGTAATAAATAATTATTCATTGTAACTTAATTAAAAAATAATTATATATAAATAGTAATAAAATATATTCTTTCTTTTCTATATTAATTTTATTTAGTGCACATTTGCGTAAATTGTATAAAAAATTTATTCACTTAAAAGCTTACGAAAATGTTCTCTGCATCAATTAATATAAAAATGAACAATGGCGTGCATCGTTTTTTGAACCGTATCAGATTAAGCTCGATTACTTTGACTGAAATGATCAGACTATACTTTTATACAAAGATTTGAAAATCTGCCTTCCGTTAACGAATTTGATATAAAACGACAATAATAATATTTTGTTATCTACTGACAGTGCAACAAACGTCATCCTGTACGACCGCTAATATTATGTTGAGGCGAGAGCTTTAGGTTGTGCCATACGTTTGGCACTGAGTTTTTAATGAACTCTTATACCTTTCCCTCGATAGCATCACGATTACGCGCGCTTGATTAACTTGATCAATCAAACATTTACCTATTAGCTTATTTTATTGAATTCAAAAAGGTCTTTTTATGCTCCAGTCTGTAGAATTTCGTCTTTTAGAAGCAGTTTGGTTATAATGCGGTTCTGTTATAATTATGAAAAAGGTTGCACATAGCTGAATGATTTTGACTTCTTTGGAACATGATTGTGCAACGAACGTATATCAACATCAAAACGGATGGAATAAAGGCATCTCAAATGAGCTTTATGCGGCAAAAGTCTCGGTAATAGTGGCTCGTATATATCATATAATTGTGCAATGGCCATATAAAAGTAAATAACGAATAAAACAATGCTGGAGGCTATAAATGTATTGCAAAATAATAATATTGACCTAAAGGAAAAAACAGAGAGGTATAGGTGTATATGAGGTGAGATGCAGGGGCGCGATAGAGGTAGTGATGAGAGGCGATACGTAGCTAAAGTCGATCGCAGCTACGGGAGCCGCGGGGGCGCTGGCCTCAGGCAAACCGGCGACAACAAAAACGCAAGACAACGACAAAGCAATCGGTACACGAGGGTGGCGTATTAAGGAAGCGTCATGCGGTGCAGCCAAGCGTGTGTTGTTGTTGTTGTTGTTGTTGTGGTTGCTGTTTACCTGCGAAGGGCACGTCGCCGAAGTACTCTTCGACGTTGTCGGTGGACATGCTCTTGTCGGAGAGCGAGACCGAGGACAGGGAGCCGCTCGAGGCGCCAAGCGAGCCTGCCGCCGGAAACTGCAGCAGCTCCTCGTCCGTTTCCGTTTCCATGTCGCGCGAGCGCCGCTTGTACACCTGCACAACACGCATGTCCATGCAATCATATACTTGGACTGCTCGCTGCCGCGTCTCGTGCTCTCTCGCGGCACCTCATTGTCCCGGACTCACCACCGTACCACCGGCTCTTTGTTCTTTGCCCCAGCGCTGTCGCTATCAGTCGACTGCCTCGGCGCGGGCCAAGGCCGATGCCGTTCTTTGTTAATGCCGATACACTCGCTCGGGTTTTCAGCGCTGCGCCAAGCCGCGCTCACAATGACTTTATTAGAGCAAGCCTCGGCCCGTGATTCTGCGTAAGTATACGCTTGCCATGGCAAAGGGCATACCGGAGCGAAAAAATCGGCGCGCGGAAGGGTATGAAATTCGGCAAAGGCGCTCTCGCGCGTCAGGCGGTTAACTCGAGCGACGCGGCCGACTGCGCGGGAGGAGCACTTCATTATTCAGAGCTCGTCGGCGTCTTGCAGTCTGCCGCACCGTTGGCTGCTGCGCCGCGCGACCGGGCGCAGAAAAGACGGATTTCGCGGCTCTTCCTACACACGAGCTCGCGTCTGTCACTCGCTCTTCTCCTCCGCCTGCTCGTATTTCGGCGCCGTCTGCTTTATTGCGGCTGCTCTGTGCGCGCGCGCGCGCGCGCGCACTTGTCACGGCGAGGAGTGTGCCGAGAGCTGCGCGAGAGGCGAACAGACGGGCCTGAAGATAACGCTGAAACGTCAGCCCGCGACGTCGACGAAGGAAAAATACTGTGAGAGATACTGGAGGATGCTCCGCATAATGATTCTCCAGCTATCTACACAGCCTACTCCTTGTTCCGCCAGTCCTGCGTGGAACAATTACCCTGAGCGATCCAACGTCAAGGACTGTCGAAAAATAGTCTGGCCGCAAGCAGCGAACAACGCAGTCTGCAACGCATCCGACAATCCGGCCCGAGTCGGGAGAGGTGTCGTTGCAGTGGTGATCTAAAGAGGCGGCGCGCTGTGGCGACCATCGTCACCGCGAAATCGCAACGACGCACAGGGCAAAGCAATCAAAAGATACGAGGAATGGCATTAGGTACAGGAAAAATGGCTCGGCAGGCGTCGTCGTCGTCGTCGTCGTCGTCGTCGTCGTCGTCGTCGTCGTCGTCGTCGTCGTCGTCGTCGTCGTAGTGTGCCAGCGGCAAAGTCAAAAGCCAGCAAAGAGAGCCATCCACCGCGCACGTGACGCTAAAAGGGGCGCTCTGCTCTCCGACACACGCGCACACCCCTGTCATGCACATACTTGCTATGTACCTACATGCGCGGTTGAGATGAGCGCTCACAGCAGAGCGATCACAAGGATTGCCGGCGCAAACGCCCGAGCTGTATACGATCGAGCATCTCTCCTCGTAAATCGCGTCAGAGATCAAATAGCAGCGAGTTGTATATTAAACGCGCGAGCGTCTTCTCTCTCCCCCTTCTCAAGCACGTATCCTCGAGTTGTCGGTGGCTCGTGTGTAGCTGCGCCCGTGACAGGAGAGCGAGCGCGCGCGCGTCAATGTGCTCGAGACTTTCTTGGAATCCCCAAAGCGCACCGCTCGACTTGCTCACTTTCTGTGTGCGCGCACTCTGCCATTTTTTTCCTGCCAGCCCTCTCATTGCGAAAGCTTGCAGCCGACAACGCACGCGGATGAGTCTTTTGTCGCTTACTCGTTGGAAGTTATTTGCACACAGAGCTTACGCGATCGCGCTATTCGCTTCTTTATATAACGACGAGTGTCGCGCTAGAATGTCGTTTGATTATGGTCGAGTGCGGGACGATGGCGTTGCACGAATCTTATGGTTGGTGCGCAGCTTGCGTGCAGTTGATGAGCATGCTCGCGTTTTATCGAGAGCTAGTGTCCGTGGTGGTGCCGATGAACCTCGAACTTTTGGCATTTTATTCAAGTTCAGCATTAGAAAAGAACTGGTACTGGTGGTGAGTTCTGAGCAAGCACGGGGCACATTAGTCACTGGGCTTTTAGTCACGGATGTTGGCAGTTGCAAATTGCGACTACTCGTACTTTTTATACATGTAAGCAATGAACAGTTCGCTCACCTGACTCAACGGACGAATACGCTCGTGGATGGACTTCTCAGCTTGGATGGCCGAGGGTGGCGGATGGTCAGGGGTGGGTGGTTGTGCGTAATGGGTGGGGCTAGTCGGCAACATCATCTGGACCTTCTTCAGCCTCTTATCTTGTGCGTCGGTATGCGTTGGCTCGCTGCGTTTGGCATCGCCCAGCAAGCTCTCTTGCGAGGACTTGAGGGTCAGAAAGGCGCTGGAGATGAAGGTCTTCTCGGCGCTGGGTGACCTGTCGGTGCCTGGACTACTGTCGACCACGTCGTGATTTTCGTAAGCGTGCCTGCGTAGCTTCCGCCTTGGGTTGATGACTTTGAGCGCTCCCGACGTAAGAGCCACGTCGCTCGACTTGCGCTGTTGCTGCGGTGGCCTCTCGTCGCGTTTAAACGGACTCGAGTTCATATCGACGTACTGGTCAACGCTGCGCGTCACGTGCCTCAGCTGCTCGCGACGAGCCTGTAACTCGCCCAGGTCTATTTGGCTGCGCGTCGCGCCGCTGCGTGCCAAGAACAAGTACTCGTAATTGCTTGGACCCACGTGGCTGTCAGCCGACAGGGACATTTGGCTTTGCAGGTGGGTCGGCGACACCGACAGATTGCGTCGTGGCGGCTTTTTCGGCGGCGTTGGCTGCAAAGTTGACGACGGCACACCGCCGTTCTGTGCATAAGTACCACAATTTTTTCAATATTCATGCTTCTATGCCCAGCCTGCCATTATTTTACGACATCTAATCTTCTTTTCTCAATTGCATTAATTTTACGAACTGATTTTTATGCAGGGCAAAAATGTTCACGAGCGTAAGTATTATTAAAAAGAAAAAAGTAAAACATCAAAGAAAGGAGTAAAAATCAATGATGATTTTATGTATTACCCAATTCAACCAAATTCAGCCAACAGATTTACTAATAGAGATAATCAATTTACGTACGTAATGACATACATTATATACTTGAATGAGATGTTATTAGCTCATAAGTGTAAAAGCTCAGCAAACTAACAGAGCCGATGGCAGTACAGTAAATTAATAGCAAAAAAATCGTGAATGTTAGAGATAAACCAATGAATTATTGCAATTGTTTACTTTGCAAAGGTAATCGCAAGCCATTTTATAGTATCCCCAACATACAATTTTACAAAATAAAAATACGTGAACAAAAAAATAAATAAGTAAATAATAAAAAACGCTGGGACTCGAGAGAGATTAAAAAATCATACCGATACTTTGCTACCAGAAGCAGGACTGTGTAGAGAGCCAGGTAACGGAGCCATCGGCAAATATATACCCGTGGAGTCAACGGGTATGCAACGACGTTCTCGAGGACTCCTTCCACCCACGCTGGAAGACGACGAAACACTTAGTTGATCGGATTCGCGACCTCCGTAGCCGGCACTCGCTAGTTGATCCTCCGAAGCATAGCCGGCTTCCACAGCCGATCGTGGGATTGGCGGTGTCTGGTACAAACCGCTGTCCGAGCCCCTGCATACATTGCAACACAGCTCACTTTAGCGCTGCGACACTATATTGTAACAAAGGCGCTAGTCGCACATTTAAATAAGCTGCCTTTCTTGTAGCTTTCCTTTTTGCTTTTCTCTGCTACCTACACTTTCTTTGTTATAACGCAACTCACCTTTCAAGTAATTCACCTTTTTAACCTTTTATCATATAGTAAGATAGTTATACATTTTAGTCTATCTATATGAAATCCATGAAAAGTGATGGCTGTACGACAATTAAATTATTTAAAGCAACTTGGATCTACCTTAAGTAATTCACTAGTACTAGAAAGCTTGTTTTCATTGAAACAAACTACAATTTTTAGCCGTTGATAAATGCAAGACGGAGATTTTTCTGGAAGCTCATCTACGAGTTTGAAACAACATGCACGTTTATTGTCCCTATAAACTACGCGTAAAAAAAGAATTTCACGAAATAAATTATATAGCTTCTTATAAAATGCTTTTCATTGATGAATATTTATCGCTGATCAGTGATCTACATCACTGTAAAAAGCTTTTACAACTACTATTTCATGTATTATGATTAGTAGCTAATCTATAGCAAACTCAAACAACAAATGTTTCTAACAGAAATAAAAAAAATATATATGAGGTTCGAAGGAATAGAATTGAAAATGACATATGCTGGGAGAAAATTTTATCCTATAAGCCTATGTTGTTTTGATTGCCGAGCAAGTAGGATAAGGACATGCGAGTCGGTACACTGCATACCGTAGAGTGTCTCGTGACGGTGTAGTGATGAGAATAGTAGTGTTAAGTGGTCTGTCTTCGGGTGTTTGATCGGAACTTGCGAGGGTGTTTATCGAGTTGAGTGTGTCAGACATGGATATAAGGACGCTGTCGAAGACGGAGCTGGACTCGGAGTCCTCTGTCATCTGGAGGGGCCTCCATGCAGCTCCGTCCAGCGTTTCTCCGTAATATTCATCTTCACTGAAATATTATTCATTCATCTGAATTACATCGATCTCTTCCAGTCCTTATTTCGTTCCTGTTGCGCTGTACTGTCTGTGTGTGTATGTGTGTGTTTTTTGGAGATAAATCTTCGAGTTCATTCCGCAATCGATTAGTATCTTCGAGAAATTTTTTCCTTTCTTATGTCATATCGTCCAGTGTAACTTTATATTGAATCACAATAAAATTACGAAATTAGGCTAATACGAAAAATGGTAAATAAACGTTGGAGTCGGTGAAAAATATGACTCTCGGTGGAAATCCAGCGAAAATGAGAGGAGAGGCTTGGATAAACGAAAAGACAGAGTAAAGAGAAAATGCGAAGGAAAGCAAGTACATGACAGAAAGGTCGAGTCGTGCGGCAGACACCAACGGTATTATTAGTTTTATGTTGGGACGGCACAACATTTGCATTGTGTAACGCAATGAATTCATCTCCAGGTAACTCTTTTTCCTTTAAAGTTGTGCTTGGGTTTCCCTTTCTTTCCTAACTTTCGAGCAAACCAACCTCGTTTCCTTATTTTGTTATGGGCTATGACCGAAACGTAAAAATGTTATGTATAAAGGATTTTTAACATTAATAACATTTTTCAAGCTTTGTATTATTGCATCCGTTTTAATAATATCGAATTTACAATAATCAAACTAGATGTAAACACAGCTAAATTTAGTTTACACAAAAGAATGGTGAATTATATCAGAAATCTCTGAATATAAACATTATTCACGAGAAAAGAGACCATTTAATAAAGTTGGTGCGTCATTGTTTCGCCCATGTGAGTCGCAAGTAGAATAAGCATTGTTTAGTCAGACGAGAATAGAAATGCGCGCCTTTTCTATGGATCAGTGTCGACTTGAACCTTGTACATAAAAGTTTCACGGCCGTTATCATAGATCAAGTTAAAAGTACTTAATATGATATTTCTTCGAAGGTTACCTGAAAAAACGTTTGAGAAATAAGACACCGCGTTGAAAAATCATTATCGACAAACGCGATGAGTCGCCGGAGGTGGTAGCACAAACACTATAGCTCAGTAACACGAGTCTTTTGGAATTGGTTACCAAACGCGGGCTTAGCTGCAGAACGAACGAGAGAGCGGCTGTAAGCGGTGCTATAGCGATGATGGTGTGTACCCTGTGGATGAGCCGCACCAGATCGGCAGCTGCCTACATCAGGAAAATTAAAGCAAGCCAAGCGGTGCTTAACGCGCTGGGACGACTACTAGTGGTGGCGATGGCGACGGTATATAGGCAGAGCTAGCTTTTCCCTTTCAGACTTGCGTGAAGCGGCGCCACCCCCTCCCTCCGACACACACACACACGTGTATACGCCATTCAACATCTCTGCGCTGCGCTTTTGTTTGCTCGCATCTCCTATATTAAAGCGCCCAGCCAGCAGCAGCAGTCCTCGTCGTCCTCTCCTCGCTGGCAACGCATCAGGTACGCGCAAATGGCTTTGCACGTAGAGGCGCGCAAGCCCAGCACTACTGCTGCTACCGCTAAATTGCTCGTTTTCCTTATTTGCCGCATACGCTCGTTTTTCGCTGAAAAAATTCGTCACACCACCTGAAGCGGCTGCATGGGCTATCTCGCGGCAACTTGCGGAAATAAAGAGAAGAAGATCGCGCCCTAATGAGAGTAGACGCGCTCACAGTAGTTCACACGCGGACGACGAAGAGATAGCGGAGAGCCGGTAAAATATTGCCAGGCGAGATTTTTCCGCTCTCTCGTCTTCAGCCTGGCTGGTTGGCGAGTTTTTTTCGAAAAAGACGATGCCAACCAAGCGGCAAGCGCGCAAGCACGCTCGAGCTGCGATGCCGGCGCGCGGCCAGCCAGACATACACAAACAGACAGCACACCTACACCTCGATCCCTCGCTCTATCTCTGCACGAGAAAGATTGAGATTAAAATCGCCAAGGGACCAGGGAGAGAGGGGAGAGAGAGAGAGAGCTAACCCAAAATGAATGTGTGCGCGAATGCTCATCTTGCCAGCCGACCGACTTGCTACTTCCCGCGGGCACTTTTTTTAAAAGTGAAAAAACCTCTTTTCCCAAATAGCCTCATGAGAAATTCAAAGGACAATTATGCCCTCGAGCTTACTAGATCTCGTGTGTGTGTGTGACGATTCGCGCTCGCGGGCGCGGCTCACCTTATCTCATGCTTATATTGTGCCTCGCGCTCGTGTTTCATTTTTAGATTTGAATTTTCGTGCGAATCTATTAGATAGGTCCTACAGTACAACACGAATTACAATGTTTTCAACGTTTAATAATGCGAGAGTTAGAAAGTTGTGGAGGATAATCCATTAGTATTATCTACGTGAACTGTAAAGAGCATAGAGAAGATGAAACAATCGACAAGTATTTATAATACATTTGGATGATATTGTAAATACTTGTTGAATTCTTACTTTTCGATAGAATCAAATAAGATACAGTATTGAAGAGTCAAACTTTTACCGGAATATTATTGAAACGAAGTAGTTATGGATACTGAAAAGTAGCAAAGCCAGCTTCGACTTACAGTGATATAGCCGAGTTTCCAGATATACGACGATCATCTTCCCGAGGTTTGTGATAAAGTTGCCACCGAGTAGGCGAGGAGCCTTCCGCCGGGGAAAGATCGTCGCCAGGACGCACATTTTCATATGGACTACCAAGGGAACCGCCGCCTTGGTGGACAGGAATCGGTGGCAAATTTTCACTCTCTGCATCACTCACGATGCCAGATGACGAACGATGTCCTTCAATCAAATCGACAGTCAGATCAGCATTGCCCTGTCCAAGTAAAAGTATATTCTTCTATTAAGTACGTACTTTTGATTATGGCGGTGATGTCCTGCGTGACGTGTGCTGGGAATTGACCCAACAAGTCGAGCACCGTATTATGTCGAGAATCCTTGATAGCAAGGTCGACGCCGCGATCGAGGAGCGTTCGCACCACTTCCATCTTACCGCAAAGAGCGGCTTCGTGCATGGCGGTGCCCGCCGACGTTCGAGTGTTGACGTCCACTCCGGCGGCGAGGAGCACTTCGACGCACGCACTGAAAGTAACAAATGAAATATTGCTCGGTCAATCGATCGAATTAATCGTCTGCACGAGCAGCAGCTATCCGGACTAACACGTGCGATGCGCTCGACCAGAGATCCAAGTCGCAGCATCAGCCATTTGCGCTTTCCAATTCGGCGTGAAGTAAAAAAGAAAGCCGCTGCGTTGAGGGCTCGCTGAGTGAACTCATAATAGCCGCCTATCAAAATGCAACCAAGCGATACGCGTTGCACGCGATCGTATTACAAACGAAGCATTAATAACGCGATCAGCTCCGCGCGTATACGCATTGTATTTAGAGTCGAAAAATGCGCAACGGCCGCAGCAGCAGCCGATTACAGTTCTCAATTGGTGGCGCATGGCAATCGGAATCGCCGCGAGAGCGGCCAGATTATTTTAAAGGCTTACCAGAGGGATTACTCGTGCCGTATGGCCCGTCACCGCGATGTTAAGTGCCTCGCACCACCGAGCCGCGTTCGATGGCGCAGCATATACACCAAGCACACACATATCCGCGCGAGAGAGCACTGATATTATTTGATGATCGGGTTTAGCAGTTGCACCAACGGAAACAGCAGCGGTAGCGCCGATCCGATCCCCGCGTTTGTTAGTGTACTTTCGCGCGGCCGATTCATGACTGTGGAACTGGGCTTCGATTTAATGAATTTTTGCGGCTTATCGCGATACACGCGCCTCGTGCTCGAAAAAAATCCAAACGCGACTTTCGTTCAGTTTCTTCAAACAATGGCAGAACATCGGCCGTAAAGGCAAAGTGAATTTTCTTACTTGTCGAAAAGAGCAGCGAAAACCAGTACACAAGATAGATGTGACAGAATGCAGTCGGAAAAGATCGAAAGCCTCTTCTCGTAGTTCGTAGGCTGCGCGCATCCATTGAAGCGACGAGAGAACGATCCATGCAGAGCGCTCGAATGTAGATTCGGTTAATACGATTCTCGGTCGCGCAACAACTCGCGCGAATGCGCACGTCGCTCTCTTAGTGTGTGCGTGTGTGTGGATTTCGACTGGCAATGCGAGCCAAAGCCTATAGCCAAAGCTCGACGTAATATCGGCTCGACGTGATTACGCGACGGCTTTCCTGCAGCGGACCTTCCCTCGCCGCTCTCTCTCTCTCTCTCTCGTTCTCTCTCTCTCTCTCTCTCTCTCTCGTTCTCAATCCATCAACGCAGTTGCTATGCTTCGCTTCCATCTCCACCGACATTTCATTGCTTTACTTCGCGCGCTCATCCGCTTCCTCGCTACAGGCACGTTACTCTCTCCCTCTTCTCTACTGGCTCTATGGATGCAAATTACCAAGCTGCTTTTCTCGGGTTACACTGAGCTACATCCACTGCTTCGTAGTATATTTTCGTTCGCCGCGCGCGCGCTTGCGTAACTACTTTTCATTTCATTCGTTTCACATGCAAAACTATTTACGTCAGCGATTCGTCGCCTGCTGATTACAGCTTTCCAGTTGCAAACGAGCACGCCATCGTAAGCTAGCATGACGACCAAGTGCACGCCTTGTTACGACGACATTCCATGGACGTGTGTGTGTTTTTTGGCTGTTTGATAGTCCACGAAATCGGCTGAAATGAATGGTCATGGCGCGAGGAAGAAAACTAATTAGCAATTGAGATCGGCAAACATCAAATGCAATTTGCCAGCTGTAATTTCGGGAGCCACAGTGTAAACTAGTGTCGGTAGAGGCTGTGCTCGGCGCGTGGCAGCGGCTAACACAGCGCGCTCTGTGCGCCGGCATTATTTGTCGACGTGAAATTTGGCGGAAGCTCCGATGCATCGAGTCGCGGCTGCTACTGCAGGCTCGCAGCGAGGTAAACTGCGCGAGTCGTGCAAATTGCCGCTAATTCGCGCGCTCACTCGCTGTACGTTGGCTGTGTATTTGTAACGCGATATAAAATGGAATTTGCGGTCGCGAAGCTTACTACGTATCGTCAAATAAAGAACCGTACACCGAAAAACCATTCAGCACGCCAACGACCAGAAGTACGTCAAACACGTCCAGAATTTTCTTCATTTACCCGTGCGAACTTGTATTTACATGGCATTATAAATGATCGGTCTTCGTTAGCTGGTTGGCGTCGTTTGTAAAGTGAAAAAAAAAAACGTGTGCGAGGAACTGTTTGCTCAGTCAGAATTATTTATAGGCCAGAAAATATTTGGTTCTCATGTTTTTAATGCTTTGCTTTGTATTATACACAAGTATACGAAACTTCGTTTGGAACGTGAAAAATACTCCATAGAAAACACTATTCGCACGAAAGAATAGAGTTAACCTAGTTTTTTATGGCAACAAATTAATTATTCAGAAAGTATAAAAGATACAAGGTAAGAACAATAGAGCCAATGAAGATTAATTAAGAACAACATGAAGTCGGCATTTGAGAGCCACAGCAAATACTGCATTACTCACCGATGGCCATTACGAGAAGCCAAGTGCAGAGGTGTGTGTGGAAAGATGAGAGAAGACGAAGAGTTGCGCAGAGACTCGATCAACTCGGGATGGGTTCGCACCAGTAGTTCCACTGTCTCCAGTCTGTTAACCAACGTTTGTAATGAAAATGTTTCTGCTTTCAGATAAAGAACTTTATTTAGGAAGTTCTATTTTGATAAAACTCTAGAAATGATGTAAATATGCAAGACCAACAATCTTAGTGATATTGCGTAGATAAATAACAGTATTCTCGAAATAATTATTTCTCTATATTTTTTATACAAATAAGATTGTATGCATAAAACTCACCTGCCATATTGTGCGGCCAGATCAAGAGCTGATTCTCCACGATTGTTACGGATGCTGGGATCACATCCAGCCTCCAATAGCTGCCCAACGACCTCCGTGTGGCCATATTGCGCGGCACAGTGTAGCGCTGTTTCGTTATCCTTTGTCTAGATTTATCAAATAACTATTAGTTATATTAATATGAATTATTGCTTATACATAAAATGTTATGTCCTCCTTCACAATAGTTACTGACTCGAATAAAGCGTATAGCTAACGTATACAATAACATAAAGAATTGAGTTTTGCTTTTTTGGAACATCTTATCTTCTTGATCACATTTTTCAGTATACTCACACTCAATTCAAACAACTAATTGCATTATTTAAGCAATCGTTTATCACACTTGAGTATTTTTCGCGACTGCTGTAACTTAACAAAATTTTTCGTACTTTTTACTATTCCCAAATCTCTAGTTTTTTTTGTATAAAATGTTTTGTTTAATACAACCGTTTGGAATGTCGGAAGATCAGTTGACATTCTACACAATATATTCCCTGCAATCTTTTTATTATATATTTTTTAAGTGGATGAATTGGAAATCAATATCTTTCAGACTATTCCGATTATTATAGACATATAAATTGAAAAAATTCTGTAGAATATAAATCCGCACTGAAGCGTTTCCATCTTTTCATCCGTCAATTATTTTATAAATGCAATAAAGCGCCATCAAGGGAAAGAACGGGAAAAATCAATTACCGTAAGGTTGACATTCGGCACCGATGGTCCTTGACTCAGAATTAATCGCACAATTTCCGAGTTTCCGGACCATGCCGCCAAATGAAGCGGAGAAGAGCCCTTAGCGTCGACGATATTAGTCGAAGCTTCGTGCTGGAGCAGTAGCTTCACTACCTCTCTGCAGTAAATTGAAAAATCGAACGTTCATTAGTAAAAGAGTCGCCATAGATCATTCTTTTAAAAGTTTCTTCTACAAGAATATGAATATCAAAATCATCAGCTCATCCAGTTTCATTGAATCGTATTCAATAGGATACCATTATTTGAGTTGGATACTGCATTACAATAATTATAACTATAATTTCGAAATTTGAGAAACCTACAAACTTTCTCTTTATTTTATAAAATAACAGTAACAATTGCATTCAACTCATCACCTCTTATGTCAAAATAAACACGTGCAAATTTTAATTACTTGTGTCCATTTAGAGCAGCATGATGAAGTGCTGAGTAGCCGCTAGAATCTTGCACATTAGCTCCTGGTCCGCGACGCAAACTGTAACCAGAAAAAGGAAGAAAAGTTGAATTAACAGCCATCCCAGAGATAGTAGACAGACGAAAAAAATATGTTGGCAGATATAAAAACGCGAGTATGAAAATAGTGACTGATTCGCTAACTCTACAATTCCGTGGGAGTTTCACTCTGCAAAATGTAGAGTAAAAAAAAAAGCGAAAGAAGCGGGAAAATATCACGATGCAGCGGGTTTCACTTTGCACTTTCAATTGGAGGATGCACGCCGAGCATTAAAGTGAACAATGCACGAACGCGACGCGGCGCTCGCCTTTTTCGTGGAGTTATATTTTTTGCAATAAGAGTGCAAACTGCAAGTTGGCTCCGGCCACGAGGGAGAGACGGAGAGATAGACAGAGAGAGAGGAAGCACAGTTGTTTGCACGTCCGAGGCTCTCGCAGGTGCACACAGTCAACGTGCGGCGATGGCGGCTAGGCACATCGGCTCTTCAAACTGGAGCTTCGCTAACGAAGCCTCTGCCAGCCGATATGCCGTTCGACACATGTTCTCGTTACGCGCCATTGTTGCAGCTCCGCAGCCGCACACTCTAACTCGCCCATCGACGACTCCCGCGGGATTGTATAAAGCCAGCTACAGCGTAATCCATATCCGTGTTTGTTCATGATTTCCGACCCTCTCTTTTTCTTTTTTTTTTTTTAGCAGCTCGCCGGCTCGCTCTCTTCCTCTATCTCTGGTATCAAACTGCACTGCTTTTTCATCTCTGAATCTTGTTAACAACCTTTCGCTCGTACATTGTTTCCGAATTCGTGAATCTTTTAGCCGCTTCTGAAAAACTATTGTCCCGATGTTTTCTAACTCTGACACATCACAATTCTTTTTACTTTGATCATATTTTACTTCTTCGTTTTTTCTTAATTGGCTCGCACATTTGGCGTATTCAAAATCGAAATTAATTTTCGTTGACTAAGCGAAACGGGAGAGCTTAGGCCGGGGTCCTCTTTACTAATGGAATCACACAACCCGTAAGAGATAAAAGGAAAAGTTCAATAGTCGTGCTAGTGGTGCTCAATCAACGAAAATTCACGTGGAATTTAAACTTTGCAGACCGCGAATTGATATTCGGACGGTATATGGCACAGAAATGGCCAATTCTCACTGGAAAAACCGGGAGAGTGAAAATTCCTAATGAAACTTATCCATTACACCATAGAAACGTCTAATATTAATTTTTTTACTCGTATTTTCTCTCTTGGCAAATAAATTTTTGTTCAATCATTACATGCAATTACACAAAATTGGATGTATTTCCAACAAACCACTTGTTTACCAAACTCTTGGAGGAATATTGCACGTCTATTATTAAGAAGATTTATATTTACCCTGATCTTATGACCTTTGAAATATAGTCCACCCTCGTAGCCAGTCAATAGTCACCCCTGTTTATTGCGTGAGCCGCACTCAACTATACGTAAGCTTTCGTTTGTGTAGCCGACTTATGACAGCTCTGGGCTTTCAATATTTCGGCTGGCATATTGGCTTGATACAATTAGGCGCGCTTATCAACATCGATATTACAGAAAACAACGAACAGAATGATCGTAAAGGTACGCAGTTGGAAATGAACGCCAGTTGTAATGGTATGAAAATAAGGGCAGCAGAAGGAATAGTTTGAAAACAGTTTTTCGTGCAAAAAGAATCGGCCGAGGTACAATTGGAGAAATGGCAGCTGCGGGAGGTGAGTTGTAATTAAATTGCGACGCCTAAGCTACGAAGGACAATGAGGGAAAAAAAGATCTTCAAAAGCGGCAGGCTGGCGCGCTCATCGGTAGAAGAGCGGCGTTAGCCACAAAGAAAGTGCTGCTCTTTGGCGTTGGTGTGTGCAAGGGCGGAGGGGCAGGGGCGAGGGTGGCACGGCACACCTCTTAACGAGTTGACTCGAGCAATTAAGCCGACGCCGGCGCACCAGTCATTTAGCTCAACATAATCAAGCGCGCCAATTCAAAGGGCGCGCTTGGGCCGCTCAAGAAAGAAAATAATAGACGAGTCTCCCTCCTAGCCTCCCGTGTATATAGCACGGCTGTACCTGCGCGTCGCGCGACCGCTCAACAGGGAGCAAAGATTCTCAGCGTAGAGGCAAAGCGCAAAAGGGGACGCAAGCAGCCCGTCGCGTGTCGCTGCACTCGTCAATCGCGAAATCCTCTATTAATTCGATTGCGGCGGAACCGTCTGATCTATTGTGGCGAAAGATCAAAAAAATACGCCAAAGTCAGCAGTCTCAATGCACCAGTTCTCTCTCTCTCTCTCTCTCGCTCTCTCGAGAGCTTACGCGTGTCGACCTAATGCCTACAAGCTCTCTTCTGCGTCGATATACTTATGCGTATACTTGCTTTGCTTCAGTTCCCTTCGCAGCCCTCGCCACTTGCACTGCGCGCTGCTTTACGTCATTTTTTGCGCCCGTACGCGAACACGCGCGTTACAAAAGCTTTTCTTTCTTTTTTGTACGACTTTCTTTTACCTTCGTGGATACTCCAATGCTACACGCATTCTCACCCCTGTATCCTTATAATGAAGCTCTTCACTTATTCAAGTCTCAAAAATTATTTACCACCCGACGCGCCTTCAATTCCCTAATTACAAATTAACAATCGAATGAAATATGTAATGTTTTTTTTTTCGAAAAGAATCATCACGTTACATTGTTTGCGCGATAATACGTAGGGGTTTTTATTTTGGAACGGACGACACTTTAATTTCGAAATAATTCATTTAAAAGGTTTTTTGTGTTCCTCGTCACATTGCCAATGAGAGTGAAAATCCACATTTCATCAAAACTTATCTAGAGAGATCTTGCCTACGCCTATGAATTTAAATATATCGCAACACGCAAAACTAATAATACCGTATTATTTTTCAGAATTTAACGTAAAGAAACTTTTTAAAGTTATTTGTAGTTACTTTTCCACATAAATATATAAATAGCATTTTTCTTTTCTGATACACGCGCATTTGTAATGAATTTTTCCATTCAATTTTGAAGACTACACAGTGTACGAAGAACCGCCGTATACGACCGCAATGTGCATAACAGAGGGTAGTATAACAAAAGGAAGAATCATTGGGCGACTTCAATTTTAAGGACATCGTGAATGTTTGTGCTCGACCCTTGGTAGAGGGTAATAAAAGAACGTTACGCAATGTGACACAGGGGTGAAAGAGAACGACAAGACAGTCGACGGAAAAAGAAAGGACCAGCATAAGATCTCTGTTTGAATGCAGACCTCGACAGTCGTGTGTGTGTGTATATATATATATATATATATATATATATATATATATATATATATATATATATATATATATATATATATATGTGTGTATAAAGAGACGACTCGCAGAGATGAAACCGTCGCGCTCAAGAGGACAAGTTTTTTTTCCTTTGAGTGCTTTGGCACTACTTGTTTAGCTTTGCCCCCTGTCGACGGGCACTTCTTGCTGCTACTTAATTAAGAAGTCTATGCTGTAGGACTCCTGTTATCATCTTAGGCCTTGTCCACAAAAACAGAGATCAACTTATATGTAGCCTTTTTCTGACTTTTATTATTATGTGCTTTTCTGCATTGTGACTGTGCATATATGTATGTGCGCGTGTGTGTGTGTGTACCGAAAAAACTTGCCTTTGACCTTATCCTACACCTTGTCATGAACAACTAACTAAAACTCGATCCTTACATCCAAATACTTTTGGAACAGCTTATTGACAAACTATTATGGTATAAATAATTTGGAAGCTAATTATAATCTCATGTGCAGTATGACTTTTAAAGAAAAAAGTGCTCTTATACGTTTTAAGTAACTGAACTCATACATACGACCAATACTACAAGTAAATACGTGAATTATATCTTGTTTTGGAAAACTTTTCATTGAGGGTGCGCTTTCAATTTAAGAATTTAATGCTATTATAAGGTACTAAAAAATTAGTAATACTTAAACCTAAACCACACCCTCTGCTTTCTTGTGACTTCCAATTTTTATCCATACCGGTATTAAAATCACCTAAAAACTTTGATGTCGATAAAAATAAAATTATTATTTCATAATTTCTTTTATGTTGTTATTTATTCTAAGCTCGAATTTAAATTTTACGTTAGAAAAAAATATGGAAGACCGTATTTACTTTTATTTCTTGCTTGAAATATTGACCATGAGAAACCTTTGTATCTTCAGTTGATTATATTATACATTAATTTTTAATTTTGTGCACTGCTGGTATTGGAAACTCTATAACTAAACTGGAGATCTAGCACAATAAACTATTAGCACTCTCTCTTATGTATTAAATGCTTGTGTGACTAAAAATACTTACCAAGTACTGGAAAAGATCACTGTCAATTGCGTTAATCTTGACATGTAAGCAGTCTACTGTGGAACTATTACAAAGCGTATTTAAAAATAGTTACTTTTAGAAAGTAGTCTGTATTTCTACTATATACCTTATTCAAATGAAGTTTTAAATATTGGATTTAAAACAAGATCATTTAATGAATGACAGAATAAATTTATAACAACATATACAATATAATAAATAAATATATGTTTATCGCTAATGAGAAGAATCATACAATATAATTAATATTATATTGTACTATATAATAAATAAATATATTTTTTTCGTTAATGAGAAGAATCAAGGATATGATAATATGTTGTAAACTTAAAAATCGCAATAAATAATAAATTTTATACAACTATTTGTATTTCAATTCAATTATCTCATGAAGTATTATAATAAAATCATTTTTATTAATAATTGTTTAAGGCACATAGGTCAAATATCATATAAATTGATAAGTTATTATTTTAGTTACAGGAGCCATTACAGTGGCTACTTTTTTTATTGCCTTTTTTTATCATTACATTTTTAAAGTAACGCATAACACTGAAACGTTGCATTCTTCGTTAGTAAAATAGTTATATTTTAATTTAATCAAGATATTTTATGAATTAAAAAAATCTGATTTCACATTCCTAATTAGCGACGCCAAAACCTTTAAGATAGTATATTACATTAAAAATCAAACAGTTGTGTTATTTGCATCATTTAAAAAGTTAATTAATTCTTTATGAATTATATGTATTTCTAACTTCTGAACCCGAAGAAAGAGCTTTATTTGGAGGAAAAGTTATTGACAGACGTAAGTACATGCTTTCCGACAATATCTAATAATGTAAGCGATGGTCTTTCTATTTTTCACTTACATTTAATCTATGAAAAGGTATTTAATAGTATATATGTTAAACAAACCAACTAAGTTTAGCAAATCCGTTATTGGTACAACAAATAGATTTGCCATTGAAAGTACAAGGCTTTCGTCTGCCTAGGTCAGGTAATGGAAAGTAACAACAGATCTGATCGCAGGTGGCTGCCCTAATGATAACACTCATGACTTCTACTAGTTCGGTTTATGTATCGTTGCATGTCAGTCACCACTTTCATGTTCACAAGAATGTATACGCAACAATATTAAACTATCACGTTTTATAGATGTACAATTAAATATTGTGTTAAGGATAGCTTGGATGCAAATATTGAATTTAATTAAAATAAATTTAGATGATTTCTTTAAACTGATATAGAAGTTAAGCTAATTTATTTTTATACAATCATTATTTCTTCTTTTTTTATTTATTCACATTTTCTCCCTCATAAATAATTGTCGAATAGTTTATTTAATAACATTCATACTATGTAGTTATTTTATACAGTGACTGAAGAATGTTTAGTCATTGGTAACATATTTATTGAGATAACTCTTGACCAAATGTATATACTCAGAAAACAAGTCTTCTTGTGATAAGACAGGATTGTCTCAAAATGAAATAACACACTTAAACTAGAAAGATTTATTTTGATTCAAGAGTGTTATTTCTAAATGTAGCATTTACAAGAAAAAATCGATTATAACCCAATTAATTATAGATAAATTGTAACGATACGATTCTTTATGAAATTGTAATAAAGCAAAAAGTTTTATCATAAAAGTCGAGTAAAACATCTCAAACAGATAAAGTGAGGGTACGGCTTAATCTAGAGGACGTATAGGGCACGGAGTACAATTCGTCCACATATCCGATCGGCAGCCTAATTGCATAATTACGAGTTTCGAGAGTGCAGCGTCTCAGATAAAAGAATCGAGCCCTTCTCATAAGGGTCGAAAGCTTTCATCAAATCTTGAAGAGTACACACGGCAGCTGCCAACTAAATTATTCAAGATTCCCTGAGGCCTTTCTAAAGGAATCGATTCCTTGGGCTCAGTCGCAAAAGCACTATTGGTGGTCTTCCACGAGCACTAATTGGAAGGATGAGATTGTTTTTACTTTTTTTTTCAGTTCAACGCACGTGCAATGCTAATCATCTAATTTCCTACGTGACATTATGCATTTCTGTATTATATTATTTTCAATGTGATACAATAACGAATGAATTGTTTTCATTAAAGGAATTCGTAATATGTCAATGGTTGATAATTTTGCAAATGACTTTTTACAAGTTACAATATAAAGTCTCGTCGAGTTAGTTCAAAGATACTTTCATACAAACACACATGAAGATAAGAGCAGCTGATAAATGAACGACAGCTTCTTAGTCTATATCACGCTTATGAGTCAACATTTTAGTGGCATGATTCGAAGTTCTACATGTTAAGTGCGCGGGAAGCGGCTGCAAGTGTAACTCAAAGGTCATGCGTGAATCACCTCTTTCCACTGAAATCACTGTTAATAGATCAATCAACACATGCATAAAATTTGTATACATCCGTAGCAATGCAAATGAAAAGAGTAATACATAGGATGTGCATCGCATATGTTATATACTTGAGGTCTCATTATTAGTCGTTGATATGGTCGAGTTTGTTTTCATCTTAACCATGGGTTTTATGTCGACGCGTCTTTGTGTGCAACTTATTGAAAATAATCCAGATGTTTTAAGTCAAACCTTATTTTTCTATCTGCAAATTTTTTAATTTTCATTTCCAAAGTAAAAAATTTATAGACCAATAATTTATTAAGATTTAATTTATCGATAGTTCATTTATTAATGAAACTATGTTGGTTTAAAGAAGAAACATAGTAAGAAGAAGAAATCTTATCCGAAGTTTAAATACAAATACAAATCTTGAAATATTGCCTTGGTCCAAGATAACTTGCTATCTACCCGAGCTCTATGAAAGACGACCAGATGTTCTTAAAATGCCTAAGGTTTGAAATAAGTCTCTAGTTACCAGCTGGAATTGATCTTTTGTGGTGATGACTAATCTTCTGTATTTCTCATGATTTACCACGTCTCGTTCGAATTACTGTTACAAAACATTTTGAAACGTTGTCAGGAGCTACATTGTTTATGAATACTAGAGTTAATTAGTGCGTTTCGCATGCGTCAACCGTAGTGTATTATTTACAACTTCAATTGATTTATTTCATAACTTGAAAATAAATATCTGTTTTGATTTGATTATTATATCGTTTCTTCTATAGAAAGTAATATTTAAAAAATATACACATTAAACTTTTTACTAAGGGTTAAAAAATCTTTTCAAAGTTTGAATAGATTGTGACGCAGGAGGTTTGTATATAAATATGACGAAGAGATAAAAAGAGTTCTGGCACTAAATAGATCTTCTTTATTCAAATATTCTATTGTCGTTTTTACATGCAAATTAATTATTAAAATTAATCTTAAATTAAAGATATTTTATTAGCCAAACTACGAACGTACATAAGTATGGTACTACCAATCACATAAATCCTAAATTTTCAGCCTTCTTGTATCTTTTCTTTTTTAACGAGATAGCGTTTTTTACTGAGCTGCGCACGCCTTGAACCTTTTTTCAAGCTTTTCGCATAGTTTTTACCTGTATAGTACGAAACATAACTCTCTTTATTTAAAATTATAAGCATAAATAACAACGAAAAACCGTCAACCTATTGCTTTATCAATTTGTGCACGTAAAGAATACGTTTGGAGTCGCGTTCAATTGATAAAAACTTCTCAACTCAACTAAGCGGAGAGTATGAACATTTTGATTAAAACCTTATTGAAGTACTACAAATTTTGTTAAACTAACATAAAAGCCTTTCAATAGCAGCAGTGTTGCTATTTTCTTCAAGAAATTTTAAGAAACTTTGATTTATAAATAGTCCAGCCGTACTAACGAAATTCAAAATCATTCCACGAGAAAGAAATTAATATAAAATTGACAATGATGACATCAAGAAAGTGACCACACTAAATATAGCGCTTAGCTCTTAGAATGCGCGAAAAGTTGACATTTGCCAGATTGAAATAAAAAGAAAAAACCGCAAGCGACTCACGCACGAGGCGAGAAATGAAGTTGGCACGTTTTTGTTCGCGCCGCGACTGTAAGTATGATACTCTCGCAGCGGCGAGAGAAAGTGACAGGTTGGATTGAAAAAGGATGCGCGAGGCCGGCGATCGATCGCAACTCCTTCGCGGGTGTGCGTGGGTACAATGTACACCAATACTTGTGTATATATACACGAGTGCGCAGCTAAGTGAGCGAGAGAGGAAAAGCTATATGGCGAGCGCGCTGAGAAAAGCCGCAACGCAGCGCTCCGTTGCTACTACTGCGTGCGTTGACCTACGCGTATAAAAGCAGCAACGGCCCGCAGAGGGACAATCGAGTGAGCATAGTTTTTCGGAGCGCGTTCTACTCTGGCGCACCACTTTTGCTGCTTCTGCTGCTGTCACCTCGGAATCCGTGTGCTTTATTTGACCTCGATACTGAGCTCGCCAATAGGTTATGTGTCTTGGCTCGAGCTGATTTTACTCTCACCAGGACAATGCATATGCCAATGATTTCTGCTCCAAATTTGGCTTACCAAACGTTCTCGTCGTTTACTACCTTTTGTTCTATTTTATATTTACAAAATTTGCAGGGGTATGTTGAAATACTGTATTTAATTGTCAAGGTAAATAAAGGCACGCAAGCGACATGGAAAAAAGACATTGGGACGGTGATTTATGCTGTATGCATGGTTTGTTTTCGGTATGAGCAATAATAAATACTGCATTATATATTCGTATCGGCACATCTGGCTGAATGGACATTTACATTCAAAACATTAATCCATCGTTATTACACTGTAAAATAAAACATTACTTTTCCGAAAGGAATTTGTCAAAGTTAGAGCTAATTATAATCTCAAACGTATATTTTGAGCATTTGAATTAACGATGAAAGAAACGAACTACTTGCTGAGTCAACAACGATGAGAAAAAAAACAAAGTTCAAAAAATTGGAGCACACTGATAAGGCGCTGACACTTGCAGCCAGGGATACGAAGAGAGAGAGAGAAAGAGAGAGAGAAAGCAGGCGGCTCTAACCTCAATGAAGCAACAGCATCTCCAGCGCGAATGTATAAAAAACATAACAGCCTCTTTCCTGATTCGCATAGATTGAGGCGGAACCGCCCACGACTGAGAGCGCCCATTTCGCCTGTCACTTCGTAAATAATATACTGAAATCAAAACAGAGCAACAGCTCGAGGAGGAAGACCTTCGCGAATACGTACTCGCATACATATCGCGAAACCTGCGCAAGTAGAATGACAGGTAGTCAGACAACTACTTTCTCTCAGTCACACGCACTATGCCAGTGTTTAACTTTCTCGCTTCACTCGGGAAAATGATTTTACAGGCTGTTATCCCCCCAGGAAGTGGTGATTGACAGATGCGCGTGCGGGCCAGCGCCCGAGAACGGATCAACACCTATAACGAGCTGAACTCTTTTCGTCCCTCTTGTCCGCGTACTTGAGATAAGACAGGCGTCAATTAGTGACGCACAAATAACCGAGAAATGGAACAGGCATCCGAAGTGTAATGGGGGTGTGATAACGCACCTTGCCAAGGGACCACTCCTCTTCGCGCGCTGCCCGAGGATCTTGTCGACGACGGCAACGTTGCCGTTCCTGGCTGCTTCGAGCAGCTCCTGGTCCTTGCCCATGGCCCATTGACTGTTGGTTAATGAGCGTGAGTCGTCGCCGAAAACTTGGTTCTTCGGCTGACCTCACTTGGGCCCGTGCTCGCGCACACACTGGCACGGGGGACTTATTTTCGGCTGGCCGTGCGTCCACTTTTACTACGCGATTTACTCGAGAGTTTCATTGATCGCGGCGTGGCCATCTTGTAGCCTGGCTCGACCGAAGCGACACTGCACGCCGGCCAGCGACACTATACCCACCGACTCGCGTTGCGCGTGAGCTCCGGATTCCAAAATCCCGCACCGCCTGTTCTATCTCGCTTGCACTCTTGCCCGTATCTCAGCAGGCCTGCAAGTATTCGCGCTCGTTGCCTAACATTCACTGACTCTCATTCGCGCGCTTGCGAGGGAATTCTCTGCTGCAACCTTTTACATCTCGTCTTCACTCACTCGGATGACTAATTTTATTGCGCGATATCTGAATGCAACGTCTTCCTTTATCTTCATTGATCATATTTTATGAATTTTATTTAAGCACGCCATTATCGTCCCACAGATGTTATTAACCTGATAACGTATGATGTTGTGGCTGCTCTAGATTAATATCAATATTTCAAATTATCTTCTATAATCTCTTCCAAATAAAATGCTATTCGTTAAATATATTTCGGTTCAGCGTTTTCTTAGAATGCAAGTTTTATCAATTTTCATATGTTTATTCAATCTCTTGACTAAACAAAATACTGATACAACTGAAATCGAGACTGAAATATTCGTAAAAAGGATGGCATTATATTTTTACACTCTTATTCATTTATTCGGTAGCAAATAATTTATAGTAAATGTGTCATCGTGTAATAGGAAAGATTGAAATAGAAAATTTTGTGTATGATCATATCAGTGAAAAATTGTTTCCAGGAATGTAAGAGTAATTATAGCTATTTACCGAATCACCCTTCTAACAGGGTTTAATATTTTGATTCGTCATGTTATATCGTTAGCGTACGATGTGGCTTCCTATCTACGGAAGCTACTAATCTGGACGGAAAACTTGTTTCTAAGCTTAATATTCTTGCGTTAAGAGGAGTTGTTGGCTTTTCGACAGCATTTATTTCGGAAAAATATAAACTTATATTTTACATGATACAGCAATTAGGTCAGTCGCCAATATATCTATGATTTAAACATAACAAGTCAATAGATATATTCTCTGAAATAGATATTTGCAAAGAAATATTTGCATTTATATTATTAGCTTTGTATATTATACATTAGCTACTCAAAATCATGAATAAATTTACTGTAATATACTTTTAATTTTGATACGTATTGTATTGGTGATGAAAACTATCTATGTTAAAATCGTTTAATTAAAAATCATCATATTGTATCATTTGAATTAATAATGAAATTCGAACTTTTCGTTTCAGTATGAAATCAGTTTTAAATCATATACTAAACAGTCCAAATTCTAGCCTTTCAGAGTAACATTTTTAATCTGAGATAGTCACTCAGAATCGATTATGCCTTGATCAAATCATTTACAGAAGAATTTTAAACGATTCTTTATGCATTTCAACTAACAAGTGGAGATAGGATAAATATAATAATAATATATAACTCAATGCGCATGTAGTATCAATATATAGATAATATTAATAAAAGAGCTCTGTTATTCCAAGTTTAACTAAATACAATATTCCAATTTTCGGTTTTTATTTATTCGTTTATAATCAAAAGCTCATTATAATTCATACTACAAAACAATTTCAATTCTTATTACATTCTACAATTTAATTACCTTTGATTCATTTAATAATATTATCATTTGATTAAATGTAAGCTGTGAATTCATTAATAACTCTTTAGGCGTACCTAGTAGATTGACGAATAAGTTGAGTAAAGCTAAAGAGAAAGCAATTATAGGATTCTTTTTATCACTCGCGCGCGTAATCGACAGATAAGCTTGCGCAGCCGCAGAAGTCGCGTACAGTAGGGTGCGAAGGCCTTGGCACTGCAGTTATGTTTGTCTGCACCGTGATTTCGTTAGTGATAGGTTGACTGTAGGTTAAGAGCTAAATAAATAATGACTACAGAGATGTTTCAGCATACATGGAGGTTTTCTTTTTTCTTATTTTTCTTATTTTTCATTAACTGTGCTACGATTGAACTTCCTAAGTCTGTAAATCAAGTGACAGGTATGTGCATAACCTCTAAAAGATCGACATTTTGTTTTGTTTACATTTTTTCATATTACTTATACTTGTATCAAATGAAAACTATAATTCACAAATTGCTCACCAAGACTTGTTATGACTTCTTTAGTTGATTGATTTATGTTACAAGTCAAGAATGTTTTGATGAATTATTTATTTCAAATAATAACTACAGATTATTTTATTCCTTCTTTAGACTACATAATAATACATGACATTTTTTTGCAACTAGTCTGTGAAACAAGCTTACAATTCTGAAATTTCATTTTTGGCAAATCTTACAATATATTATATTTATACTAAGAATTATTTGATTGATTTAAAAACATTAAAAATATGATAAATAAAATATCAATAACTTGTATTCATCTCTTTAGATGGTGGCATAATTGAATTATCATTAAGCAATTACAATAAGTCTATTAAAGAAGATCAGGCTTTTATCCAATTAGTTAATATAGATAAAAGCACAAATCTTGCAATAAATGTTAATGACATACCTATTGGAGTGACATTTATTATTATTCAAGCTCATGCTCATTTGTATAATATATCAATGTCGTATGCTAAAACAACTGTTAATGATGTACCTGGAAAATCTATAACTGGCACAAACATAGGACTTTTTGTTGAAACGACTGATAGCCGTAGTACATCAGTTTATGTTACAAATGGAAATAATTTTCAAGTTGATAGTCTCATAGCTGTTGTAGCATATACAAATGATGGTAAGTTAATTGCTACTATATAAGTATTAAGTAGACTGTAATTTTGTTTAGTAATAACATTTAAATTTATATAACACATGATAGTTTTGGAAAAATTATAATATATGAATTATAGTAAGTTATATTGCAACTATATAAATATCATTTGTAATATCTCGTACCAATCATAAATTTTATTTCTTTATATGTTTAGTATAATTAGTTTTTTATTCAAGTTGAAAGAAATTACAGCCATATACATTAACAAAATTTTTGCAAAATATTTACATATAGTTTAGAAAAAAATTAATAAACAATAATAGAATAGTTTGTTAGGAAGTAAATATTTAATGGTATAAGAGGAAAGTCTATTATCAGGAATCATTATTAAATTTTATTTATTAATATTTATAACAAATTTCTATATTTATGATATAATTGAAAACTTAAGATTTTAAGCTTGATTTAATAACTTTTCTCTTGTTGTATCATAATTAATGGCGTTATTTTCTATGAGAATTAATTTTTTTTTATTTAGAAGAGTAATGTAGAAACCTTGCATATATGTTAATTATGTATAATAGAAATATTAAACACTCTAATTTAATAAATTAATCATTTTCATGTAATAATCGAATGAATGAAATAATGTAATAACGTTGCAGCACCTTATTCTGGTGGTTGCAATATGGAGTTCGAAATCGAAAAATCGCCATTCCAAAAGTTGATCTATAGTAAAGCGACAGTAACTGTCGATGCACAACCGGCCTCAGTGCCGAAAATTGGGAATGTTCAACCGATATGCGAAAAATATCCATTGCAGCATGACGCTTACCGCATGTATTTACCAGAGCAAGATTTTAGTAATGAAACTTACTTTTTGGCAATAGCTAACATGCTTACTGTTCGAGATATTCAAAAAAATGCAGATCCTGTAAGTGTTTATTTTTTTTAAATACATACAACATGGTGAATGGAACATAAATATTATCAATATTTTTTAAAAAAGATACCAGCTTCTTTATTCGGATCAGCAATGAGACGAGTTTACAGTTTGTACTCCGGAACCGGATCAGTTTATGGTATGATTGCGCATTTTGCTAATCGGTCTTCCGCTTATGTTCCGATTACTACGTACGGTTGCGACCCATCTTCAGGTTCTCCTTCCTGCTCTCACTTAAGTATGGCTTTTATTCGAAATAAATATATAAATTGAGCAAATATATACTTTCTAAAATCTGTTTTAAATTTGGTCTTTAATTTTTTTAGCAACTTCCTTCGAGAAAGTTTTGTGCGCTATAACATTTTTCATTGGAATGTTTGTAGCCATGCGCGGACAGTATTTTTTCAAAATATCCATGTTTTTATTAGGAATGGTCACAGGTGGCTATATCGGTTGGACGATAGGAGTTAGTATCGGGACCTTTGATGTTACAGGTAAATATTATAGTTTTATAGTCAGAGTTCATTTCTTTACTCGTTTTATGTTTTAGGATTAATGTTGATAGCTATATTTATTAGTATTATAACTAGCCTGATCTGGCTACTTCTTTGGATGACCCTCAGCAGTCCAATCCCGTCATTAATTTTTTCTGGCCTGAGCCTTGGGTCACTGCTATTTTTCATCTTCTACTTTTCCGTTCCAGGTACAGAGCGACTTCTCAGTTACGTTTCAGACACACATACATATATATACAGACACTCTATCATCATAAACGAAATTTACAAAATCGTCTTCTCTTATGAATGGAAACAGGGAAACAGGAGAGTTGGAGTCGGAGAGGTTGTTGCAAATTATAAGAAAATAATGAAAGCCAGCTTAAAATGCGGCTGAGCCGCATGGGGGAGCTTGGTAGCCTTTTGCGCAGCCCCGAACTTAGTATCAGACTTTAGCGGGAAGGGATAATGCTCGCGGGTGCGCACAGTCGGCAATTGGCGGCGGTATGGTCGGTCCCCCCGTAGCCTCTATCAATGTTGTTCGCTCATGTAGAAACTTCGTTCGCCGGATCTCTCCCCCTCCCTCACTTATCCCCTCTTTCGCTGCCTCTCCCGCCTTTCTCACCATAATGTCGCACGCGCGTACACTATCTTTGCTCGAGCCGTCACCCTCGCAAAACTTCGTGTTTCCCCCGCGCGTACGTGCACGTATGTACGAGAAATGCTCGAGCTAGAATGCTTAGAATCCTAGGGAACGTTAGCTTACTTTCTCTCTTTTCCTAGCCCTAACCAGCTCGCGTGGGACTCGCATGTACCTAATTGTGTCGCAATATTTATTTAGTGCTGAACATATTTGGATTATACGCTCCAACTGCGCGCAAACGAGGGATTGTACGTTACGTAAAAATATGGCTAATCTGTTAGCGTGTCCGAACAATTGCATTTATTTTACTAACTTTTTAAAAAGAAAATATTACAGTAATTTGATTTTTTGTGTTTTTCGTACATCTTAGAGAAAAATTTGTTACAGCCGGAGCGCTGTACTTGGAGGTAGACGCATACTTCTGGCTTCTCTACACGACTACCATCATCGTTGTTATATTGACTTTCAGTGTAATTCCTCTTACTGGAAATATTTTATGTTTTACGGTACTTGGTGCTTATGCCTCAGTGCTCTCTATTGATTATTATAGCAATTCCAATCTCAAATATATACTTGTGAACAGTATACGACGTATCACTGTTGACAATTTCAAAGTAGCCGTCATAGATCCACCGTGCCAGGATAAAGGTAAGACGAGTTAACGCTATTTCTATATTTAATTTTTAATTCAACTTAAATATATATCATAAAATAACTAATATGGTTTCAGATATTTTACTCGTTATTTTCTGGGTATTTCTTGTAATTCTGGGTCTTTATAAACAATGTGCAACCAATTGGAATCGTACTCCATTTCCGCCGTCTATATCCCACTTAGTTCATGATACGGAAAGAACATCACTGTTGCCGCCCTCAAGATATCAACAAAAGTACGGCTCGTCGAATCGAAATAATCGACGACAGTCATACTTGCAGATATTTTCAGACTGATGAATCAAAGTCAATGCATAAATTACCAAAAATTAGAGGAAATTGTCAATTTTCCTTCGACACGGGTGATATTTTTCAACTTATTGTAGTTGTAACAAGATTATATTTTTGTTTTACAAAACCCTATCAATTTATTCTCATTTAGCTTATTTAAAAATTATTCAGTGAATGTTATAACTATCCAAAAGTAATTTTCAACTAGAGCTTTGAAAATAGATTGTAAAGTATTGTTGATTAACCGAAATGTTTATCAAATATTTTTTTGAAAAATTTATTATAAAAATACTTTTCCTATTTTTCCTATATAATATTTTTGTATTTTTGAAGTTAATTGTTTATTTTCTTATTAATATAAGACCAATAATAAACTATTTCTTAAAAATATTATATTGATAATTTACCTAAAAGTATCTTTGATACTAAAGTCCATAAACATACTTATTGAATAGTATTACATAGAAGTAATAATGTTTCTTCTTATTTTAAAAATATTTTCTTTAGTTAAATAATTTGATAGAATGAATATCCTAGGAAATTTGTCACTAAAGTGGAATCGATAAGTATGGGGTTAAGAAAGAATACTTGCGTCCGTGAGAAAATTTCAATAACGTTTATTTCAATCCAATTTTTTTATCGTCATTCGTCTTAACATAAATTATTATTACAATGATTCAATGATTATCCAAGCACTTATCCATTCATTCAAAATACACAGGCGTCCATACAAATTATAATATCTTTTCGTATAATGTTCTGTCATGGAATGAAATCTCCGCCATTTTATTGAAACGATATAACACATTCATCGAATTATGACATCTAACAATGGATTTCGTCCTCTAAATGTGGCTACTTACAATCTTAAGAGGTAATCACAGCAACAATATTATTCTCATTATTCACAACACTTACATTGGATTACTGCCGCGATATAGTTATATGTATTCTTTTTTCATGTGTATTTTAAATATTTTCATTAATTAGTTTTGCTTATACTTGTACACAATAGATTTCATGTAATTATTTCTATTACAATGATGAGAAATAGGTACCAGAACGTTAAATTGCGTCCTGAACGCATGGCTGAGCGCCTCTTATATATGACTGTGCAACGTAACATTATACTACGCTACATCGAATAAAATTTAAGATTATCAAATATTTTATACTATGTACAATATTTTTCCCTGTCAAACATCTTTATTCGCAAATAAAATTGAAATATTTCTATAATGTACATTTCTTTCGTATCAACAAATTCAATTTTTCATTATTCATTTCATTTCAATCGTATGATGATCAATCAAATATACGTATTCGTCAAACACAATGACTGTTTCAATTACTTTTGTAGAAATTTTCATCAGCAAAGCATCGTGAGATCAAAGCGATCGATGCCAAGAATTTAAAAGCAATATCACGATATTCATAATGGATTAATGGTCAGCAGAATACAGAACAGAACTGTTTAGCTTGCAAAAACAGTTACTAATCACAATAATATACAAATGTTACATAAAAAAGAGTATTAACCAATGGGAGTATCAGGTAAATAAATAGTATTTATTTCCATAGTGTCTAATTGAAACGAATCGTCAAAACATAACAAAAACCATTAATTGTGTGGGTCTATATTTTCTAATTTTGAAATACATGTAGCAACAGTTCATTGACTTATTAAAAATATTGGCATCGCTCTGTAATATTTTGAATATTGTTAGATTTGAAATGATAGTTTTACATCAGACTTTTTCAAGTTCAATATGTATTAGCTCATTCTCATTGCATAACACTTTAATCATTGTAAAAAAACCACTCTTAATTCAATTAATGCAATAATTGTCACTTTCCGTACATTATTTGTGCTTTGCCATTAAATGAGCTGGCTTTTTTTCAAGTTTTGATTCTTGTTTGAATGCTTATATGTATATGATAGCGAACACTATTGCATTCAATGGGCTTATACAGATCTATTGAGATTTGATATTATTATATGTTAAAGCTTGATTCAATTATCAGTAATACACATCGATAGTGATTACTTATAATTTGCAATGTAATAATGGATAATTACTGTTTTTATGCATCCTAGAGAATCCTAGGCATTAATTATTAAATGCATATTGCTACTTTTATTACATGACTGACTTTATGGAGAAGTGGCATTACACTGTCATTGTAATCAAGACAACGTTAATTAAAAGCTCCAAATAAGAGAAGGACTCTGCCATTATTTTCATTTTTTCTTAAAATTATAAGCTATTTACCAAATCATCATTCAAATTTTTCCAAAAAACAGAACTTTGATTTTGAATTCGCACTAATAGGCTGATAATTTTTGTTATTATGGAGCTCTTCTTCAGCTGCTTCGATAGATAATGGAGGCGAAATAGTTGTGTAAGTTTTGTATATTGAATAGTGGGTTAAAATGGTTACTGGTCTTATTAAAATCCTTTGGAATGTTTAATGGGTATTGGTGATTGGAATCTATAATCTGCTTGTTGTTGAGTGCATGCATTTACTTACTAATTTGCGTCACTTGGGCATTTTATGAATAAACATCGACTGCTGCAAGCGCACAGGGCAACAGGTTTATAATGACTGCTGTGATGTGTATTTTATGTAGATGTATAGTTGCAGTTTGTTAAACTCCATTATTCCGAGCTATTTTTTTGACTTTTTTCGTTCTACGTCTATTCTCAATTGTTATTTACATATTTCAAACATTTTTTCCAAATTATTTTCTAATATACAAGATAATTTAACCAATAGTATTTTACACGACTTTTTGTACACGACAATAAACAAAGGATAGTGCTTCAAACGTAATAAAAGATGTCAGTGAGTCGTCAAGACACTTTGGCATATATTTGATCGATGCCCCTCTTTCTCTTAATTAGCTGCAATTCCGTCGCGCAATTGTGCCTTCAGTTCCGTCATTATTTCGTGCAACTATTTGCGAGGTGCCTAAGCACAAATTGAAAAGAAAGTGCCGACGCCGTGTAAAAATGCGCAAATTGAGGAGCGACGTGGAAATGATAGAAGGCGAATTGAATTCCCGTTAGACGTTCTTTCGACAGCTCACGCTGTCACGCTGGACTGCGCGAAGGAGAAAGTATATTTATGGTCTCGCCTTCGACAGGAGCGCGCGAGCAATGGACGTCGCATCTCGTTAATCGACAATTGCGAATGACGTTTGTCGATGGGAAAGCGAAAAGCTGTGGTGCGAGCGGCGACACCGGCGGCTGTCGTTGACGGGCGAAAACAAGCGAGAGGCGCGCGTACACAGGCGCGGCGAGCAAGTGGAACATGCGCGTATGCGGTGCGCCGCCATGTCTTCGGGTCTAAGCGCGATGGCCGCTCGCTCGAGCGAAGAAAGCCCGCGGCACCCTCGGCATCGCCCGAAATATTCCCTCCTCCGACGGGCGATTAGCATCTCGCTGCCAGAGGGGCCGAGCGCGGCGAGCGCTCTGTGTTCGTGTGTACGCGCGCTGCTGCTCTCCGCCAGACAGACATCGCGCAGAGCTCCCCTCGCGCGCATCGATCTCCGCGGCGAGCGGTTGGAGCTCGCGCTCGCCACCGCGACTCGTCGACGCGCTCTCGTCTTCCTCGTTTATCCATCGCGTTGCCTGGCTGTATCCCGCGCGTGGCTGCGCTGCGCTTCGCCCGGCCGAGGGAAGAAGGGCGCATTCGCAATTCTGTTTCACGCCTCATCGCGACTCGCTGTCGCGGCGCGCTATATACGCACGCGCACTGTACTTGGGGAACGTGCACGCGCGCGGCCCGGCAGATCAAAACCAGCTTTCACACGAAGAAACGGAGTTTCAAAGAGAGTTTGATTGGCTTGCAATTTGATTGTTCGCGTTTTCTTGAATTATCTACTAGTTCTTGGAGCGAGACCTAGTCATACTTACGCTCAGCGCTTTGACGGAAAGAGACTCGTTTGTCAAATTTTCGCCTTTGGCATTTGGCTTATCCAAGTACTTTTATATTGACAAAACGTCATTGTAAAACTGTGTACGTGCGTGTTGTTGCAAATAAAAATTGTAAGAAAATATACAGTTGAAAATAAAACATGTTCTTTATTTTTTGCTTGCGTACATAACAACATATATTTGAAGGTATGTTTGTACATCGAATGCTTAAACGACAATGAAGATAAATAAAATTAATTACGCAGTGAAATGAAACAGTAAAGTAAGCTAATGCATACGTATAATAGAGTCCGATTATTTACATGATTTTGGCACATGTCAGCATATGGTTGAAGGTCGCACGTTCAGATATATATCGCGTATACATGCACTATAGTACTCGTAAAGTAGAGAAAGAGGGACCATACATACATATACCGTTATGCCTATTGCCATTGCAACTAATAAAAATCAATGAACGCAGCGACATATCAAATTATTACGCGGAGGTAACAGTTTAATCGCACTAGCGTGTCTCGCGCTCGTTATAGTCCTATGGGGTGGATAATCCTAGGCTAGCCTATCGGTGTGTCGCTAAAAATGTACAAAAGAAGAGCGAAAGAGATAGCGAGAGAATGCCAAACGACTCGTCGGCTCGTCACGACGCGCCAAGTCGAGCTCAGGCGCGAATACAGAGAGCAGCCGAGACAGCCGAGGAGAAGGGAGATGATAGAAGAAGCGCGTGTACGTGGAGACGGCGGAGAAAGGCTTGATCACAGTGAAGCGCTGCTCGCAACCCTGCCGCGTGATCCGGGCCCGATAGAGGATCTAGGTTGTTGTTCATGTGTGCAGGTGACTCACCGCGCGCGCGCTTTCGCACAGCCGGCATCTTCGCCAATTATGCATCCGAGCGATCGTGCAGTCATGGCGCTCACTCGCTGGCGTCCGAGTGCTGGAGCGAGCTGGTGGTCGAGGTGTTGCTGGCAGTCAATTGCTGAATTTGCTGCTGCTGCTGCTGCTGGGATCTGGAAGGCGACGAGGGGCTCGTCGCCGACGGGCTCTCCTGGCCAACGAGCAGACTCGCGGCAGGGAACCCGAAAAGCTGTGATCACTGCAGTCGCGGCCAGTAGTTGCCCGTCAGGTCGGGCGTCTGCGACGGGATCTGCACCGGCACCGACACACCTGCCGATATCACACCTGCAATCAGAAACAAAGGCGCGTGCCGTCTTTCATACAATGTCTCAACTCTGCGAGAATGGCGCTGCGATTGATTAGTGAGCGCGAAGCTCGCGACAATTGAAGCGAGACGGGATTCGCGTGTCGCGCGCTCGCTCCGAATGACTCGACCTTGCTCGCGAGTCGAATCGAGTGAAGTCGAGCGAGGTGGTAGCGCGGGCGTATTTAATTCCGTCACTCTCTTCTCTGGCTCACCTCCTCGTCTTATTCAATTCTCGTCGCTGCATTACTCTCCAGCTCTCGAGCTGTCGGCCTAACGAGCTGCCGAAAGTTTCGCTCGTGTAAAGCGATTATGATGGGTTAAAGCTCGCTATAGTGTTTAAGAAAGAGACCTGCCAGACAGCTCTGCCTGCCTCCCTCTCATCCTTCTCTCTCGCGCACACTCTCTCTACGAGGGAGAAATAGACTGTGAGAGAGTGCGATCTCGTTTCGCGCTTCGCCTTTGTGCTAAACTCGCTCATCCTCTTATTTACGTGCGGCTCGATTCGAGCACCCAAGCTCCCCCCCCCCCCCCCCCCCCCCCCACCGCTCTCCAATTCGCCGACGAGCTCGAGAGTGAACGTCGATTCAATTATCCACTCTCGGAGCAACGCCAGGCAGGAGCCTAGCTCCGTTCGCGTTTTATTAATAACATGTAAATATACCCTCCTCTTTTCAACGCCCAGACTTTTGTTGCGAAATATCTATCCACGCCCGAAATTGAAAGTACCTTGAATCGCATGTGCGTTAAAATGAAGAGGGAAAAAAATGTTGCAGGGGCCCCGACTGAATTTCAATAAAGCACAGTGATGTTTGCACGCCGGCGTACAGAAGTGCAAACAACGTATGGAGCGACAGTTCTGCGCAGCATTTCCAAATATTTCATCGCACATACGCTACGGCTAGCGCGCGCATATTCCAGCGCGATTTTCGAAAAAATGTAATTTCAACACGGGAACGCGGAAATGCTGCAACAACCGAGCTGTTTTCAGGCGCGAGAAACGTTTTCCATATATTAAAAAGGGGAGGGGGGAGGAAAAGTAACGCGAAATATGACATCGCCACGAGGTGGTACCGCGTGTATATATATATATATATATATACATACATACATACATACATACATACATACATATATATATATATATATATATATATATATATATATATATATATATATATATATATATATATATATATAATACACAGTACACTGGGGTGTTGCGTATGGATAGGTCTGTATAAAGGCAATAACGAAACGAGGAGAGTGCGAGTTAGCGAGTTAGCGCGCGCCCGAGATAGAGCGACAGAGAGAGAGAGAGAGAGAGAGAGAGAGAGGACAGCGCCATAACGCAATGGCGCGCACAATGAGGTATACACGAGGCGCGCTTTCTCCCTCCCGGGCTGGGTCAGGCTGGCGTATTTCCTCCCCTTTGGCTTCGCACGTTATTGAGCGCTCGCCCAGCCGAGACCCAACCCATCCACAGAGACAGAGACGGACGAGGCAAGATTCAATGTCGACCGAGCGACCGAGTGTAGCGAGAAAAGGGACGCGCTCGGATAACTGTACTCTTTATCTCTTCCTCTCTGCGCTACACGCGACGACCCGAGCAACGCGCGAGAGAATAAAAAATGAAGCGCGCGACGACTCGATGTGCCGTGAGTGAGAATGCAGAAAATGGAAAATTCAGTGAGCGCACGCGCCTAGAGAGAAGGGGGGGCGGGGGGAGGAAACCGCCGAACATTCTGCGCATCCCTCTCTTTTTATTTGTTTCTTGCCCACGCAGCCTCCTGCGTTCCATCGATTCTTCGATTCGGCTCACGGCACCACGCGAGATTTGTTTGAAAATCCTTTTACCCTCCCCGTCACTACCCCCTCCCTCCCTCCCTCCCGCATTCGCCTTCTCCGCGCACTCGCGTAGATTACCAAACTGCCCTTTCTCCTCTCTTCCACGCTCCGTGCTCGCGCTAATCCCTCGAGCTTGTTTTTCACATTTTGCCTCCTCGCCCCTCTCAACGCGCGGCACGCACCCATACAGTTCGAAGAGAAAAGCAGCCTTTCAAGGCAGCCCGTTTATTTTGCGCTCACCAAGAGCTCGCTGCGAAAAATCTTCTCCTTCTTGTACCGCCATATCGCGCTATTGAACTACGATAGATTTCTGCCGAGAGAAAGAGAGTGAGAGGGAGGGCCGCTTTATTGCGATGTGCCCTGGAAATATGGCTGCTGAGCTTGCTTCTCGTCACGTACATTTTTTTGCCTCGCGAGCGCGAGATATTTTATAGTGATTCTTTTATCCGGGTTTCCACTATTGTCAAAAATATTTTTAAATGACACAAAGTTTTTATAATACATGTAATAGAAAAAACCTCTTCTAGTTATTTTCATTCTCGCGCAGAATTAAACTTATCGCCATGCTGAACGGCAACTTATCTGCTAAAATAAATAGCTTGCAGCAAAAACGACATAAGCGCAAGATAAAAGTAAACCAAGTGCTAATTGAATGCAGCATTAGAAGGCAAAAGAATGTGTTGCATCTGTTATCTAATTCAATTAGTTGCGACGCCGATTAGCGCATGCAAACCACGTATACAGTGCACCGGTGAAGTATTGGTTTTTGCACGGCAGTCTATACGGCTTTTACTCTCTCTTCCTTGCTGCCGTCCTCCTCTCATTAATCTATTTATTCGCCTTTCCGTTTGGCCTCTGTTCCTACACTTGAGGCAGCGCGGCGCAGCGCTGCATTTGCGATCGTCGCTTGATAATGGCCCACCTGTTTTGCAACAGCAGCCAGCGCCACTGCGCCGTTAACTCAAACGTAAGCCCACGGCGAATTCGCGGGCGCGCAGAAATGGAATAATGCAGAGCGTCGAGGGCAGAAAGCACGGGGGACGATTTGCGCGTGCACTCGTAATGGCATCGGGCTGCAGCCGTGCAAACCTGCCTACATGCGCGTACTTGCCTGAAAAGCCAGCCTCTCGCGATTCATCAGGCGCGGCTCATTTGTGCCCCACGCGCTTTTTTTCTCTGTTTCTATTCCGCTCTCGACGATTGACGAGCATTGTTCGCGAGAACGGTTCTTGCTATGGTTTTTATGCGTACGCTACATAAAAAAAAAAAAAAACTACGATGCCCGGTGGCTTTTGTGAGCGCTGCGCGTATTTCCTGCGGTATGGCAACTCTCGTGCGCCATTCAAGAGCTTTCGGCTTGGTTTTGTGCCAAGCCCATTCGAGGATTTATACGTATAACGCTGTAAATTTGGAATCGACGTTTTCTCGCTAATGGCGACACGCAGTTTTAAAACTCTAATTGAGATGGGCTATGACGCTAATGTGTTCATTGAAATCCATTAGCGACGACTGCACGCGTTTGTTTGATCGATTCAGAAAATGGTAAAATAGGCGTACCGATGTCATTGGAAACCATTGATATCCGCATACAGCCAAATGCTCACGAAACACTGTAGAGCCCATTCGGAATGAATGAGACTGTAATAGAGCAAAGTGAAGTAGCGAACTCACCAGTAGCCGTAGAAGTGGTCGGCTGATACGGCGTCGAACCAGGCGGAGCAGTCTGCGCGCCGGGAGTGCTCGGTGCGGTCGGTGCATGCGAGGTGGTGGGCAGGCCCCGGTGAGGCTGCGAGTGCGCGGCCGCTGCAGCCGACTGATGCGCCGCGTGCGAATACGACTGTGTAAGCGAGTGCAGCGGCTCGTGGAATACGTATGCCGGGTAGCCATCGGCACGCTGTTGCAGACAACTGCTGCCCATCGAGCCGCCCAAACTACTCGTCATCGAGCTAACATTATCATAATAGAAACTTTGTTGAAAGCCATCGCATCTTTGGATGGAATCCCCAGAACGTCCGTACGGAACAACCGAGGAGAATTGAAATTCTCGTTACCTGTATGTATCAGGCATTGTAGCAATTGGCTGGGGTATCGATGAATACATAGCGTTGAATCCGGCGTTGAGCGGTATCCTTGGAGTGGCGGGTGTGGCCGCCGGTGGCGCGGAACCGGCGCCAGTGCCTGTGCCACCACTGCTGCCGCCGCCGACCACTTGGTCCACGGCCGTGCGTCTTTGGTTGCGCAGCTTTTCCTCGCGACGCCATTTTGCACGTCGGTTACTGAACCACACCTGCAAATTATCCTAAATTATGTACTTTTCAAGTCGCCCGTTCAACTTGTACATTGTCAATCACGCATCCAGCTGTCACACTCTCTCATGCCGTTCGCTCGCTTGTAGTTTGCCTTTTAAAACGAACCCAATCATTCATTTTAAATCTGCAACAGTTTGCAGTATTTTGTTTGATCTATCCAAATGAAAAAATCCAAGCAAAATAAAATCGTTCGCACACACGCACGCTTTTGCTCTCGATTCTTTTCACTCGCTTGCAATCGGGTTTTGCGTCTTTGTCCACTTGTCAATCTGAACTTCCGTCGCCTCGGGCGCTACTTTGTGACTCTTTGTCTCTGTTCCTCTCGTTCTCGTTCATTTTTAACCTTTTCCCTTTTTTATCGAACCAGCTCGGCCAGTCGTGTTTCCTCGAAATCTGTTAATTACGATTGAGCAGTTGTCAGGCAGGAAATTAAGTTATTCCCGCTCCCGTGTGTGCGCGTAATGACGCTATTTGACTGTCCGTGAAAAACTTTGTCGCGGAAATTGCGTGACTCTTACTTTTAATAGTACGGAACGAAGTTTCAAAACTTTTATTGATTCTACGTTTTATTCGAATTTGACGAAATCCATCACCTCAGCATATCTTTGATTTGCAATATTGAGTTACTCCGAATAGTTTCGACCGAAAGTAAAGTGAATCTCAACGTCGCTGAAACGAACGTCGGGAGATTTAATGAAGTCGAATTGACTGCAGGTGAGTTGACTCATTGATAGAGTGGCATCAAAGTGATAAAATCTTTGACAAGCCCGCGCTCGCAATAGATTGCCTCGATTGTTTTCGGTTTTGCCGTCGCGGTTTTCGACCGACTGGAAACGCCGCGCATACGGCTGAAAGAGGCAGAATTTAGCCACGATACGCAGTGTAACCCAATCGATCAGTCGTTTGTTTATAACGACGTTTAAGGCCATTGTCGTCACAAGGCTCGAAAGCGTCAGAGGCCAAAAATGCGCCAATAGCGTTGTACAGCTCTCACTCTCGCTTTCGATGTTCAATCGTCTACAAAAGCGCGCGAGCGAGGGCAGAGAGAGAGAGAGAGAGAGAGAGAGAGAGAGAGAGAGAGAGAGAGAGAGAGAAAAGCCGAGCGAAATTGCAGCAGATGGCACTACACGAGAGATAACTCAGGGAGACTTTTTGGCTTGGTCCGCAGTGCTAACAAGTTTTACTCTACCGAGCTTTTTAGCCTGCAGACTCTCTGATGCGAATCAGACAGAAACGTCCATTTCATTTGCTTTGGTTTTCAGGTTTCAAACAAAAGCTCTTCTTTGATATATCGGCAAATTCATGTATAATATTAAATTTTGTTCGTGAAAAGTTGAAAAATTCTCAAAACTCGATTTTTCATTTTATGTGAAAGTTCGACTGTTTCCATATAGTATACAGCCAATTGTAAAAAGGCCAGCAATGAAAGGTTTTCCGAGCTAGCACAGAAAATCAAATTCAGTTTTATAACCATATATCTATATATCTCAGCGTTTCTAAACTCGAGCTACGACGTCTCTTTCTTACTCTTCGATCCATAAATCGATGCAGTCAGTTTATTGCCCCTTTTTATACCCAAGCCACTTTCCGCCCCATTAAGTGCGCAATGAAGGCGCAGTCGTGTTAAATCTCTTATCCGAAGCTTTCGATCACGGAATCTCAAAATCTTTTGACGTGCCCTGTTTTTATCTTGTCCTCCCTCCTTTTTTTTCTATTTATGCAGCCAATTCGACGATACTTAAAAGTCGTTGCGGTTCAATATTTTTACACTTTGTTGCATCTATTCCTTAATAATTTTAATTAACTTCATCATCAAAACGCCTGTGTTCTGCATAAATTACGAATTGCAGTATTAAAATCTAATATTCGCAGAGTGTCGATGAAAAAAAAGGTTCTTAAGTCGGCTATTCGCTTTGTAATAAAAAAAAGAGAAGCACGGCAGAGAAACAAAATTCTCCACTGAAAAGGATCGCCTTACGGTGAGTCGACGTGGGCATATCCTATATAAAGCTCCATCCGTTTGGTAAACAACGTGCCGGCTAGGCAGCCCACACGCACATACACTCACTCCGCCCTTAAAATAAAAGGGCTCTCTCTCTCTCTCTCTCTCGCGGGCGAGCGCATCGTCGAATCTCCAGCGACCATGGGGATTTCGCGTGTAGCCGCAGCAGCAGCAGCACCAGTGGCGGCGAGGGTCGAGAGACGCGAAATGATAATCGCGCGCGCGCCCAAAAGGGAGCCAGAGGCTAAAAGGAGAGAGAGAGAGAGAGAGAGAGAGAGAGAGAGAGAGAGAGAGAGAGCGTAGGTGGCGCGTTATATAGGTAGAAAAGCGCTGGAACGGCCAATCAGAGGGCGATCCTCCCGGGGGACGAGGCGACGTTGCCATGGTTGCGCTCTAACTCGCGCGTCCGAATATACTCGGCACTTCTCGTTCTGTCTTCTCACTCTGCTATCTGGTTCTCTCCGTCGCGCGCTTAGGCTCCGCGCGTGCCCAAGCTCTTCGTCCACTGCTTCGCCATCGCTTTTTTCTTCAGTCCTCCGTGAGCGACTGATGTGATTGACTGGATCGGATTGGTTATCGCGAGCGAAGACGCGATTCCACTTGCATTGTTTCTCAGGACGAATGGGACTAAATAAAGAAGATTGCACGGCTAATGAACGGGGCGGACAGCATAACGGGCGGCACGTGATGGTGCTGGTCGGGTCGCGCGATCATATAACGATGCGGGCAGTCGTGCGTAGCCGGACGCTTGCACACTTCGGCGAGCACCAGCAGCAGCAGCTCGCTCCGTTCTCGTCGTGTGTACTCTGTCGTTCACGCGGCGACACCCACGCGCACACAGCTGTGTACAAACACGACAAACGCGTCAAAGATATTAATATTGTACAGCTTGGTCTCCGCCGTTGAGCAACTATTTTTAGCCCGTGACTGCTGCGACCGGCGGCCTCACTCCCATGTTCATTTTCAATGTCGATTAGCGGAAGCGCGACTGCGATGCTCGCAAGTCGGTTCGCGTAGAGGCGCCGCGCGAGTAGGCGCATCTCGCCCAGTATAAATATATCCTCCGTAGCCTCTCTCCGCTCTTGCTCCGCGCTCGCTCGCGGCGGCGAGAGAGTACAGCAGCGCGCCGGTTTCCTGCACTTAGCAAGATCAATACCAGCCAACGAGGCTTGAAAACATGCGTCAACATGGTCTCGCGCGCTGTTTGCGCGTCCACATAACGCTACGGACGCGCGCCCGAACTTTTCCTCCCTCGCTTAGCTGCCTCTCCCTGTACCCCTCCCGCAGTCCAAACAATGTCCGACAAGGCTGCGTACATATTAGCTCGAGCCCGCACATATACCCTCCTACCTCCCACTTCGCTCGCACTGTGCTCTGCTCCACGCCTTTCTCTCTTCCCTCTATATTAATTAAAATAACACTCGGCGATGCGTGCGCGCCGGTCAACCAGCTCGCCCCGCAGCTCTGCCTGCGTGCCTCTCGCTGCGCACTCTGTCTACACTGTGGCGTGCGGCTGCTGCTTGCGCCCTGGTGCCCGCCGCCCCGCGCCCCGCCGCCCGAAGAAAGCTGCTCTCGCAGATCGGTTGTTATTGCTTTTGCAGCGCCTGAATCGCTCGTGTTTTCGGGCGCGGTGCCTCGCGCGCCTGTCCGCGGCGCATGCATATGGAACCGCTCGCATGCCAAGTGCTCGCCGGCTATCTCACGACAAGCGCCACTTTATTTATTTTGCGCCGGTGTGGTCCAATGGCCCGCGCTACTTTGCAAATTATTTTTCCAACGCGCCGCTGTAGCAGCCTGTGCAGCGCAGCCCACGCCCGACCGTACGCGACTTCTACTACTTGCACTTTGTCTGCTTTTCGTTTGTCGCGCTACACGCTACTGTGCCATGGATGCGAGCACATCGACAATCGTTGCGTGCTTTTGATATTTCAGTTTCGTTGTTTTTCACCGCATTCGGCTTTCTCGCGTATAACGTTCTCGATAATAGCGTTGCGCGTAATCGCGACGACGAGTCGTAAGGATAGAGCATCGTCAATGCTCTCACGGACGGGTGGAGGAGGGAGGATAGGGGGACAGGATGGACGGTAGAAAAAGAAATCAATCGCAGGCACAGCAGCGAGTCCCCGTGACGCATAAAAAATTAAAATTAATGGCGGCAGCGGCGCAGCGCCGTGGAGGTTGGGCCGAGAAAGGATAAGTCTCGCAGCACGGCAAACTTTCCTCTCGCGCGCGCGCGCGCGCACCTCCACTTCCCTTTCGCGCTCTATCACGCGTCAAATCGCGCAGCTGTTCCACTCGAAGTGTAACTTTGAGCGGAGGCGCGCGCGACTGCGAGGTGCGACGTTCGCGTTAATGAAAGTGCGACGCGACTGGAAGTTCAAGTGGCCGCGCGCAGTGGTGTCCGCCCAAGTGAGCGGCTCTTGCACTCTAGTTTCGTCATCCTCCGACAGCTTATCCGAGCGCTTGGAATTGCTCGTACAATCATCGATTATCGCGGCAAATGGAAAAGGAAGGCCGCGTTAACGAGCGCTATCGCTTGGTGCAACGCTCTCACTCGCAGACACGTGCGATACAGCAGCACATTCGCGCCACACATTCACACTCACCTGGATACGTGCCTCAGGCAATCCAATCTTCTCGGCGAGGCGTTCCCGTGCAAACACATCCGGGTAATGCGTCCGCTCGAATTCTGAAACAACGAAACAGAGGTCGCAACAAGTGCTTCGTTATTCTCTTTCTCGTTCTCCAGCGCCGCTCAAACACACACGTTTATTCCCTTCATCTTGCTCTTTCTCTACTCAATTTTATCAACGCTATTTAACTTTAATTTCAAGTTTCATTATTCTTTCGAGTCCATGTCGTGAAGCGGCAATTTTCATCGCACGCCGACTTTTCATCTGCCAATGAACTCTCAATTACTCGATCGACAAAACGTGCAATTAAAATTTAAAATGCCTTTCAATAATGAAATTAGCGATATTTGATACACGCGTGTACAACTAATTGGTTTAAAATGTATTAAAATCGTCTTTCGTTGACGACACTTTTTAATTGGAGCTCAATCGAGTATCTTTTTACGTATTGTCGTACAACCCTTACCTTTTTCGAGACTATCGATTTGCTCATTGGAAAAAGAAGTCCGATTGCGCTGCAGTTTCCGTTTCAGCCTCAGCCGAACTTGCGAGTCTTCGTCGCCCGACGAGTTATGTTCCGAATTACCATCGGACGTTGTCTCTTGCTGATGCGACAATAGTGAGCCTGCGTCTGGAATGAAACATTGTGAAGACATTTAGATAGAGATCGAATAGAGAATATTGTAAAATCATTCGTAATGTCGTGTTACGAGCTTCCATGAATCAAAGACCTATAGCGAATACGTATACCTTACAGAACGACTACAGGCTATTCACTCAGATGTTCTATTGCAAAACCGAAAAGCCAGGATCTTAATGCAGTTCGACGTGACAAAAAGCAAAGTTTCTTTTTTGTCTCGACGTGAAAGCTCCAAGCGAGTTTTATTGAAAATGGAGTAGTACGCGGATCCTAAAATGGAGGGAGGTATTCGCCGTACGAATAATTTGAGTGATTTGCAGAGAGAATGACATTGTTGCAAAAAGTGGAAAGAACGGGGAAAAAATTGCCGTGCGCGCGTCTAAAAATAAAGCGACACGGCAATGTATATAGAAGGTATGCTGTCAGCGCGGTATAGCGTGCTTGGAAAAACAATTGGATAAAATCGAAGGACGTGGCTGGCGTGGAGATAAAATTCCGATGGCGCGGATGCGCGGCGGGCGCGGAATCGTGGAAGTTTTAGAGTCGCGCGGTCGCGCTCTACGAGGATCCTCTCTACATGGCGTATTGTTAAAGTTCGCCTTGTCCCCCGCGGAGGCTTTTGCGCAACAGACAAAGAGGGAGAGAGACAGTCGAGCGATTACTTTCCGCCTCCGCGCACCGAACCCTCGCCGCCGCGCTGCCGCCGCCGCGCTGCCGCCGCCGTCGATGCCGCCGTCGATGCCGCCGTTCGCTCGTTGCCATCCCTCCGCTCGTCAGCTGCCGCTGCCTTCGCTCGCTCGATCAGACTCGCGCGCCACCAGCTTTATCTCTATCTCGCTCTTTTTCTATCTGCCAACCGCTGCCTCTATCGGATCTGCTTTTGCTCTTGTTTTAAGCTCTATCTCCTCTCTGCTTCTCTAATTCTATTTTCGTCTTTCGCTCTCGGCAAGACAAAAAAACCTCCCTTTAAAAATTCACGCCAACATTTTCAGCGTAAATTCCCTGTCGCAGTATGCGCGCGCGTGCAATATTACATTTTCATAACTAGCGCAAATTCGGTTTCTCCTGAATTCATTTAATCGCACGATAAACGCGCCGGCTTTTGTCTGCATACCCGAAAACGCGCCAAACGGCCCGATCAAAGCGAAGTTTTCTAATTGATGAGGGTCGTGCATTATCAAGGGTCTCGGCTATAGTTAATCACGAGTCTCCAAATAAGTATCTGTCTTCTTCTCTTGTCGACAAAAAAAAAATCTTCTTGAGAGAGGGCGTCCACATCCCGAAGCGAAGAGCGTTTCTCGCTTTCCATTTCTCTTTGCCATCTCTCATCGGCATCCCTACCGCTTGCTCCCCGTCCAGCGCTTCGCATTCCTCCCTCCGAACCGAGCGAGCGAAATAGGCCCTCGGCCGCCCCCTTTTTCCGCTCGTGACACCCTCCGACGCCCCTTTTCCTCGCGCGCGGCTACGCGTGTAACGACCCTCTTCGATCTCTCTCTCCCTTCCCCCTCCCCCACCCTCTCTCTTTCTCGCTCGGCGCCGACTCGCGCCTCCAGAATTTCTCATTGTCGGCTATCTCTTCGGGTTATTGGGACAATTGGCTTTTTTTTTCAAAAACCTTTGATATTTGAAATTCTTGTAACGCCACTCTTCAGGCCATTTTCAAAAGTATATAATCTGCTAAACGAGTTTACAGCCGGTTAACCAGAGAGAACCTTGAGAACGCGCTACCGTATTTAAAATTCTATTATAAACCGAATGCGTGAAATTCAATAAAAAGGCGAAATCCTTTAGAATAAGAATTATGGACGCGCCGTCGAATCTGGCGGCTACCTTGGTTGAGCGTACGATTCGGCAAAATGATAGCCATCAGCATATAAAGGAAGTAGCAAGGTCGAGATAGAGGGAGAGAGGGAACTCGCTGAGGCGTGGTAGCATAGGTCCAACGAGCGAGGTAAGAATTGCTCAGCCAGCCAGGAAAAAACTTTCACACCTAGTTGAGTTTCATTAAAATTCCAAGGGAAGAGAAGAAGAAGCGGCTGCACTGGCTTCGGGAGAAGTAGCAGCAGCGGCGAATCCTTATAGAGTTGTGGAGGTGGTCGTCGTACAGCCGCAAAAGTTTCACGAGCAAGATCGGTTACGAGCTGCACTGCTGCCACGATTGTACCGTAATCCGCGGGGCTTTCTCGCGTAGCTGTTTGCCGAGCTTCCGCTTACACACTCAAACAGATCAGACGATTTATATTCCGGTCCGGGCATCATTAATTTTTGTCTGGTTTTCGCGTGACTCCGTGGCCTTTGTTCAAGTCGGCAGCGTGTGCGCCTGCACTGTAGCCACAGAGAAAAAGTAGCCAGAAACCGAAAGCGCGCGAGATTAGGTAATCTGTCTATTGAAAGGTCTTGAGCCGCAGCCGCGCGCATCTGGAATCGTCATCTGTGCTTTTGGGGGCCAATATATCTGTGGCGCAATCTCTGCCGCTCGGCTGATTTCAGTGATCCTATTAGTCGAAGGCGATCTGACGGGAGAGTGGTGCGCGCAGGTATTTGCCCCGTTGTCTGCACACACGCACGCGTACACCGCCATCCCGTAGGGAAGAACACAACACACACACACACACTCAGCCACGGCACGCATATGCGGCAAGCGAGCTTATAAGCCAGTCAAAGACGTATATAAGTATATAGACGCAGAGAACTGCGGAGTCGGTGTACGTATATAGTGCTCTGCGGCTAGGAGATGCGGCGCAGGCTACAATGGGCGATCTTCTCGCGTGTACCCTGTATCCTGACTCCGCGTGCGTGTGCGTGCCTTACGGGAAAAAGGCTCTCGTGGATTTCGCGGCTTTGTGCGCGCGGCATTGTGAGCACATTATGGCCGCCGATTGTCGGGAACACGTCGAGATTGTTATCCGCTTATATACCCGCGCGACTCGCAACCCCTTCTCTTGTTTTTGCCCTCTTGTTCTACAGTTCGAGCCCCGTAAATTGACATCACGCGAAAGTAGACGAGAAATTGGCGAACCTGAACGCTTCAGCAGCGAGTCGTCGCGTGCGTGGAGTTGCGAGCCAGGCAGCAGTGATTGGCCGGAGCTAGGAGTCGTGGTGCCGGGTAAGCCGGTGGCGAGGGAGTGATGCGAAGGTGTCGCCGAGTACCAGGCGTGGGGCCAGCCGGCCGCCTGGCCATTGAACATGCGCAGCTTGTCGTAGACGCTCTCAGCGCCCTGGTGTGCCTGCACCGCCGCAGCCTGCTGCTCCTTCTGCGACGCCAAGTTGCGCAGCACCCTGTTGATCGACGATACCTGAAATACACAAACCAAACCAGACTGGATTCAGTCACCTGGAACAGTATCTCTTTTCTTCAGCCTGACGTGTGTCTGCCAAGTTTTCCTTGTGACCGCCTATTTCTTTGTATCTCGATACTTTCCTTTGTTCATTTTGTTTTCAGCTTGGAAACGCGATCATTATTTGTCAGTTTTGCTTTTCTCTCGGGGCGCTTGCAAATTTTCCGACGCATAAACCATTCCATATTTTCCAAACAAGAGCATTATTAATACACCTGATTTATACAATGCCTATTAAATTAAATTTCATCACAAGCCTGTAGATGAATTTTTCTCTAACAATCCTAACAATACGCGCGTTTTGCTACAGTTTGTCAAATGATTATCGTTGCAAAGCTATGTTTCTTTCATTAAAATTGTGAAACACGCGTATAAAAACATCAAAGACTATTTGCTCCAACAAAGAACAGAAGAAACTCGCTGGGAAAACGCATATAGAAAAAGTTTCTCTCTCACCCTCTCTTTCACGGGACTTTCCGCACTTTCTCCGTAACGACGACGAAGGACTGGCAAAAATCAGAAAAGTCGGCAGAAAAAAGGAAAGAAAAAGTCGTCCTTGTAAACAGAATCCTCGCAGAGGATTTTATGCATGTTTTCCTTGGCGAAAAGCCAATCAGCAAGGTAAAGGGAGCTGGAACCGCACAAAGCGAGCGCAAATTCAAAGGAAACCGCGAGTTTGAACGCAGCGGCATCCCGAAAAATTATTGGCTCTTGGCCTCGTTTTCTCTCCACTCGTTGCAACAATGTCAACTGAGACCTTTATATAGAGTCTTTTGCTCGCTGTGATTTATTCCCTTGCAGCTTACTTTTTCTCTCCGCCACTCCCCCCTTCCCCTTTCTGCCCCTTGGCCCTTTGTTAACATCCTGCGCTTGTCCACTCGAATTATCAAACCGACGCTACTTTGTTTTCGTATCACTTTCAATACAGCCACTATCAATTTAGCAAAGATCTGCGCGAAGGCGAAATCTCGTTAGGCAATCAAGACGAATGTCTGTAGTTTCGTTACATTAGAAAATTATGCTGTTTAGTAAAGAAACGCATCGCACTGTGTCAACAATATTTTTTAATCCGCATTTGAATTGATAAAAGTTTATTTAAAGGTAAACGTTCATAAGCGTTGCTGAAAGCGACAGAGTCAATGACGCGTTCACTTGTGCTATATTCGTAAGATCTTCATTAACTCGCCATGAACATTGCAAAAAGACGTCTTTAGGCTCTGCAAATGACATTCAGCGTCGGACTTGCATTGTCTTTTTAAGTACAGCCCCAAGCTGGCCTTTGAGTCGAAGACTTGTTGACGGCAAGACAATTAAATAACTCGCTGTCGTCGCGTTTGCGCGTTTGTGATCAAAATGAACGAGCTTACATAATCACTGGGCGTGAGAGTTTGCTTGGAAAAGCAAACAGTTACCGAACGTCACGAGCCTTGTAAGCGTATAATCAACAACGCCTATCAATCATCGAATAATGCATTTCAATAACAAAAACATGTAGGCACGTTCACTTTCCGATATGCCAAATAAAAACTACGCCGCGATATATCCATGTGACGAAAAAAAGAGTCAAAAATCTCTGAGCGATAGCCAAAAATTGTCGAGCACAAACTGTGCTCTGTCCGTCCACAGCGCAGTGATCGCTGCATCGCACCTTGCCTAGCCGCATGTACGCACGCAAAGCGCGAAAATATAGAGGGGAAAATAATAAAAAAAAACGGTATGTATATAGCGATGAGCGCGCGGACTCGTTGCTGAAAAAAATCGACAATCGAAAAATAGAACGGTGGTGGGGCCGCCGAAATGCCCTCGAGCAGAGCGCCAAGTTGTAACAGCTCTCTCTCTCTCTCTCTCTCTCTCTCTCTCTCTCTCTCTCTCTCTCTCTCTCTCTCTCTTTCTCTCTCTCTATCCATGTCTGTCTCTGTCCCTCTTTCGGTGGTGTGCGGCAGCCACAGCCAGGCAGGCAGGCGGGCCGATGCAGCAGGCCATTACACGCGCGACCGGACACGAATAATTGCGCAACACGCTTAACTGATCCCATTCAGGCCGATTCTGCTCTATGTGTCTAGCGCGTACGCCTCCCCCCTCCCACCGCCCTTCTTTATACTACCCCCGCGTGCGCGCGCGCGAGACCAGGCAGTATAGCGCATTATGCGCTGTCGTGAGATAGCTGATGCCACGGATTACCGGGAATAAAGACGAGACCCATGCACGTACCTATGGGCGTGCGAGCGATGCTCTTGAAAGCCCGCCAATACTGCATATGCCGCCATCGTGACTCGGCCCTGCATCTACAACTTACGCGTACCGACTGTTCTGCGGATTGTCCAATCGGATTTGCTGACCAAATCGTCACTCGCACGAATCGATTGATCTCGTCAAGCGATAAGCTTAATTTCACCGACAAACAAGCGCTACCCGCGTGTTTGCGAATGTCGAGACCAAATGCCTTCGTTCAAAACTTCACTGCGATATTTATCGAGCCAACTTTACGAATAATTTAACGCCTCGTTCGGACAAACGAGCCTCGAGAGTTTTAATAGACGACGCCGCGATATCAATCATATACGGAGATAACGATGGCTTAATGACGAGCTAGACTCGGAGCAACGCGCAGTCGATTGCCTCTGGCATTAACCGGTGTACGGCCATGGCTAGGACACGCGCGCAACTACAAATGGGCCGATTGATCAAGGGGCCTTTCTCACACGCTCGCGCACTCGTGCCCAGGTATTCGAGTGCGGCCCTCGAATCCTGTATACACTGAGAGCAGCGTCGATGCGTGCGAGCGCGCGCACTCGTGGGAGGATAAGCGACTGCCTCTGGAGGGAAGCTCGCGAGCTCTGAGCCAGTCGCGAGCGAATCCAGGCCGTAACTCGGCCGCTTTCGGTAATGAATTGGCAACGAGCAGTGGACGCGATTCGCAGGTTTGACAACGGAGAATGCAGCAGCTGCGGATGGCACAGCCGCGAGAGACTGGATTTACGCTTGGCAACTGGGACGCTCGGCCGAGAGGCAATATGGCTCTCGCGTACAGCAATGGCGTGAGCGAGCGTGCGACAGGGAAAAGGATGTTTGCGAGACGTGCCGTTTTTCCTGATTGGATCTGGAGGCGGAATAAGATCGAGCTGCAGGGTGGCGGCCAGCGTCGTTCGGGTTGGAGTAATGGACCGATTACCCCGGGCAGCGGCGGCGCCCTATTGACGAGACTTTGATTAGGGTCGAGTGGCCGGGCGGCCGACGGACGGGGCTGGCTTCGCCCCGATAAGCCCTGGATGCGCATAATGTTCCGGCCGGTTTATCGACGAGTTGCTTTCGAGGCAACGCGCCCTTGCCTTCTACGCGCCGATTCTCATGAGAGCAGTCGCTGCCGAGAGGCCCCATCTCGTTCTCTTCTTTATCGCTGATTTTCTTCGCGTTGCGAGCCTTCGTACACGCGACGACGGCGCGTATTGTCTCTTCTTTTTAAATAATCGTAACGTATTCAATTGTATTTTCTGCGCTCATTACGATAGACACGAGAATGTCTTGTATTTGCAGCTGATAAAAATAATTCAACGATGATTGGGTGTAAGGCAATTGTTCGAAAGTGCTTTGTCTCAAGGCAGAATGGTTACGCTCCCAATCTCGAAATAGACGTATAATCGACGGTTATTACATAAATCTTAAAGCACGCTAGAGCTTTATAGGAGAGTGGCAAGCTCCACATTCGCTCGACCGCTTCGATTCGTTAGCGATACTCACACTGGGTATGTTGTCGTTATTGCAAACTCCCTCTTGCAGTAACCGATCGCGAATCTCCCATGCGAAGATTGATGGGCATTCGCGCTTGTAGTCGGCTATTTTATTTACAACTGGCGTAGTCGCCACCCGTGGCTTACTGCCGCCGATCGCTCGGGGTTTGATAGAACCGGTCTCGTAGTACCTGCGAAGAAACAAATGGAAATCAGCGCTCTCGCCTGGTTCGATGGAAAGCGCCGGACAGAAGGTGAACTCACCTGCCGAGGATCTTGGAGACGCAACCGTTGCTGACCTGCAGTATGCGCGAGATGTCGCAGGGCCTTGCTCCGCTGTGCGCCAGCTCGACGATCTTCTGCCTGGTGGAGTCGGGCAGCGGCCTGCCGTTCACGTACACGCCGCCCAACTGGTTCACTCCACTGTGGCCAGCGCTCGAACAGCCAAAGATGGAGTTCTGGCCCATCATCCCTCCGCCACCGAGGCCACCGCCTCCATGCATCAGGTCTTCCTCTGTAAGGGACAGTAGCCAATCGCATCTATCAGTGCGTGCATTGCTGCGAGACCCCGCGGGCCGTGCGCGCCGTTCCATCGGGGTATCGACGGCCCTCGACGCTCGAACGGAAATGAAAATAACGTTACGAAAGCGAAAGAGCCGGAAAGGAGATGTAGCTCGGAGATGCGAACGCGACGCAGGTGAAAACAAGCGGCGCCGGGGACAAGGGAGAAGACGATAAAAAGCGCGGCGCACGCTCGCATAAGAAAGTCACAAATTGGAGAAACGAGCTTGCAGCGCGGCGCAGAGGTGGCGGCCGTTTGTAATAATTTCCCTTCCACTTAGCTCGCTCGGCGGGGCTCGCGCGCGCGACCAGCCGGGCGCAACAGTCTTTTTGTTCCTTTGACGCGAGTGCAGCAGAGAGGCACACACGACGCTCGCGCGCATTCGTCGCTCTACTCACTTTGCCAATGCGCGTGCACTCCAAGCGCCGCGCCGCGCTCCTTTGTGCGCCGACGCTAAATGCATCCTGCAATTAACAAATTTAATTAATCTCTCTCGCACGCGCGCAAGCTACATCTATCGCCCAGAGAAAGAGAGAGAGAAAGAGAGAGAGAGAGAGAGACAGAGTGAGAGCGAACCTCTTTGTCCCGCCCACTTTGCCGTCTTACTTAATTTGCTCGCGAAACATTCGCTCTCAAGCTATGCCGCGGGGCCACTCACTCCCTCGTTACTCTTAACGCCAATGTAATTACATTAGTCTGACTGCCTTATAACTACTCTTCGTTCTTTGCGCTCGTTTGACAATCTTTCGCGTTACCTTCACGCTTCTCCAAATATTCTTACTCGCCTGTCTCCTGTATTTTATGTTTTTCCGAACGTTGCGACTGCAAAACTTCCGTTTATCGCCGCAGAATCGCTTTTACTATTGCTTTCAGCTAATTTTTTCATTCGTCATTTTTGATGTATGGATTTTTCAATTGAACTATAATCACATCGGAGCGAATGTTTTCTCGTTATGTGCCAAGCACAAACACTCGATCACATGAATGAATAAGAAATGAAAAATAAATCTGGACCGCTTGTTGACACAGAAATTGAATAACTCAAAGCGGCAAACAGAAAATAATATATAATAGCCGCGTGCTGCAGTAAACGATATTTTGGTAAAAAAAAGAGGCACGGCCGTTGTTTCCCGCGCGTCTCTTTCGATTTTTATTTTTCAAGTTTCATTCAATGCGTTTGCGGGTCCACTGCGATGATGGCGCGCACAAAGGCTGGAGGCTCGTTCGCGATCAAAGATAGGCCATAATGTCGACTCGGTAAGGTATTATGTCGAGGCCGATCAAAGCGATGCTTTTGCCTCGTCAAAAGATTCTTTATTCTCGCGCCAACGTATAGCCTCTTCTTCGATGAATATTTAGCCAGGCGCTCGCTCGACTAACCGGCGAGTCCCCGACTTTATAATCTTTTTCCCTCTCGCTGCCTCGGTACACACTCATCCGCCAGATTCCTTTTATTTAATTTTGTTTCGGCTTCGCCTCGGCACTGGTTAGAAAGTACAGATTTTTCGACATTCATCTTCGGCGCTCCTTTTCATTCCGTCTTATTTTTCACCCCCTTGTCCGTCCTCGCTCGCGCGCTCTCGAGTCTTCCGAGTTATCCATCTTGATCCCTCGTCTCGAGGTTTCGCGGCCTCTTTGTGCCGCGATGTCGCTGGAGACTTGCCTCTCTTGTTTTTCATCCGCGCGCGCGCGCGTGCGTGCGTGTGTGTGCTGCCGCGGCAAAAGAAACCGATGGCACAGTTATTAAACGTCTTGACTCTATTGGGTCAGGATCAAAGTAACAGCCCTGCGACCAGCTCAACTCTCAGCAGATCTCTCGATTGGATTCAATGGTAACCATAAAAAAATTGAAAACTGAACGCAAGGCGCGTTCTGTGACAAAGAGCGATATGTGAAAAGCATAAATTGCAGGTTGTTTTGTGCACGTGCCAATTCTCGTTGCCACATACAGAGAGAGAGAGAGAGAGAGCAAAGAAAGTCAGGCAGGCGGCAGGTGGGCAAGGTAGATGGGGTATATAGGAGAGAGAAGCGCTTTGTCGTAGAGAGGCAATGTGCGAGAGGGAAAAAGCGGCAGCGGAGGCAAAGGCGAGCGAGCGAGCGAGAGGGAGAAGGCTCGCTCGCTCGTGGTGCACGCCGCAGCTCTTTATTTATAATTTCGCGTTAATCTACACGACGAGCGCGCGCGCTCTCCCTCCTTCCCTCCTGCTCTCGCTGCTGCGGCAAAGGCCGTAAAGTGAGGCAAAGAGGTTCCACTTGGCTGAGCGTGAAACGGGACACAGATTAAATCCCATCGTAGTGCCAGCGCCAGGCAACGTCGCGACGCCCTACTCTCACGTGCCTTTCTCTCTTTCTCTCTCTCGTTTTTCTCCTTTTTTTCCTCTCCCCTCGCGCTTACTGCACCTCGTTTCTCTTATCACTCGCGTCTATGTACGCTTTTCACCGCTAATCGTCCTCATCGTCGTCGCACCTCCACGCTCTCTTTTTACCGACTCGCGTGGCGCGCGCGTTCTCGTTTCGCTGCCGCGCCTCCTCCTTCTTTTTGGCAAGACCTATTTGCGGCTATCTCTCCGCGACACAACTTTGCGCGGGAGAAAATATACCCGTTAGTTCTTTTGTCAACAAATCGACGTCGACGTCAATTTTTCCGCTCTTTGTCGGCCAGTCGCGGCATGAGCTTTTTATTTTGTTTCGAGCCGAACGAACAGAGCGTAGTTTGTCAACGAGGACGAGATGGAGCTGGCGCGCGTACAAAGCTCATAGTAAAAATTTTGTCGAAATAATTAGAGTGTTTTATATATTTTGTCATTCCAGTCGTCGGCAAAAGGGAGAAATCGGTGCAACTGGCGCGCGAGTGGTAGGAAAAAGTGCCGAGAGGAAAAGAAAAAAAAAAGCTTTGTCGCGGAGAGAAAGAGTGCAGGGCGCGAGCGCAATAACAGGTAGATAATTAGGTGGCTTGGGCTCTGCGCGAGAACACGGCCAGGATATATAATAACGACAGCTCGTATAACGAGTATTCCGGCTTTCAGAGAACGAAAGAGGGGAGGCGCGCGCGCGCGGCGTGAAAGCTCTGCAGCGATTACTCGGATCGGCGCTGATTCGAGACCGCAATTGTTTGCTTTAATTTATCGGAATGGCTTTATAAATAACTGCTGCAGCAACAGCGATTCGCCGAGGCGAGCAGCGGCGCGGCGAAGGCTTTAAAAATGCTGCTCGCTCACGCGGCTAACGGTCGACGATATTACCGAGCTTCGCGCCCTAATAGGATAATAGGATGAACATTGATTCGTAATTAGGATTATTACCCCACGAGCACAGAGTCGCTCTCTTGCCTGCGTACGGCTCCGTGATTCATTGTACGCGCCTTCGAATTCACGCCTTTATGCCGCGGCACCGTGTTTATTTTTTTCCCATCCTCGTCCCGATTAATCGAGCGCTTTAATCGTCGCGGGCTGCATCTTCAGGAGCCACTTTATTTTTCCATCCATTCGTTTGAATAATAATGTAGCCAAAGGCAGCCCGGTTTCGTCGTGAGATTGGCCTATTGATTCGATTGAAACAGCGTTCACCTGCGAATTGGCACCGCGCGCGCGAAGCCCGCGAAAGCTAGTTAAGATGTAAAGTCAGATGAAAAACAAACAAACGCGCGAGGCGGAAGGAGAAACGCGCAGTCGTAGCTCCCTGCAAGGTGAACGCCTCATTTCTTGCGATTGCATTAAATCAAGATACTCCTTGGCTAAGGTAAATTTGACTTGCTTTCGGGCCTCGCGTCACAGACGCGCTTGCGACGACGAGCAGTTATCAGTCGACACCGCCTACGTACGCAGACGAGCCGCGCGAGTAATAAAGAGCTGCCGACAGTCTGACAGCGGCGGAGCGAGGTTTGCCCCGTGGGAAGAGCGAGAGAGAGAGAGAGAGAGGGCAAGAGAGGAGCCAACGACACATCAAAGATGGCGTGTTCGCTAATGAGTTGAATCGTATAACTGAACGATGCTCGAGGCGCTGTTCCCTCGCGAGTTGGTTGTCTCGCCTCGACACCTGCGCCACAACGCCAGATATGCCGACTGCCTCGCAGCTTCCCGCATCTATCTCATCAGACTACATTCATTAGGCAGTATTGCGAGCGCGCAATTCTCGCGCCCCTTTTTCTTCGCTACACACACCTCACGCGAAAAGCAATGACACCGGTCTCGATAAGAACAAGCGCACTCCAGGGCTACGAGTCGATAATTGCTACTTGACGCGCTTAGTTACATTTATTATTTGACTTTTGACACGCGCAATAAGCCCGCACGTTACTTTGACTTCTTCCTAGCCGGTCTTTCCAACGCGCTGTAAGTGACGACCTCTTAGAAACGTCCACCATTCATAGTGCAATGGGCGCTTCACAGAAAATTATTGGCACGAAGACGACACAGCGCAAGACAGAATAATGCCGGCTGTTGAATGGAGGCGTTTTGATTTTAGAAGACGGGACTCGTAGCCGATCCGGGGGTGGGGCATGCGCTCGAGCCATAGATGCCGATGGTCCAGGAGCAAAGCCGGCTTATTAGGGGTGCGCGCGCGCTGCGGTTCCATTCAACGTCTTCGAGGTACGTGCGTGGCGCGCGCGCGAGCTTACAGACGAGGGGAGTCGAGCAGCCGCGAGTCACGCTCTCGCGCTGAAACGCGATACATAGCCGTGGCACGCGGAGCGCCCGGGGCCCGCAGGCGCTGGCGCCTGCGACGGGCGTGCGGCGCGCAGCCGCTACTCGTGGCTGAGAGCGACTCGGAGACGAGTGTCGACCAGCCGGCGCCTTTCCAGCTGTGCGCCGCGTGGGCGTGCGGATGGGACAGCAAGGCGGTAACCGAGCCTGCTCCCGCCTCGCGGAAGCTTGCCCCCTGGCGCGACACGGAAGCCGCAAGTTTGCTGCGCAGGGTAGCCAGCGCATTACCGGCAATAAGTCTGTCGTTTAGCGCCGCCGAGAGAAAGTGCATAAGCCGCGGCAAGCTGCAGTCGCGCCTCGGGGGTGTTTTCGAGGCGTCGCAAGGTGTAGCATGTTGGCCAAGGGGCTGTTGGCCCGACAGAAGCCAAGCAAGCGAGAGGCTGCGCGTAGGGTTACGCGGCTAACTACGAGCGCGGGGCTCACCGCACGGAGCCCTCGCGCCAGCCATCGCCAGCGCTCGAGCTCTCTCCCACCGTTTACCTACTTAGGTGACTGCCACCCGCTGCCGTGCGAGGCTCTCTTCTTTGCTCGCGTTCGCGAGTACTTGTTTGGCGCGTCCGCCAAGGGTCAAACCGCAGAGAGCCGGTAGCGATTTTAAAAATGCGGTCGCTCGGTTTAGCCCGCGCGGTGCGCGCAGCGCGTGTGCCGCGGGCCTCGAACAATCAGAGTTGGCCGTTGGCAGCCCGAATCCGCGGGACGCGGTGGCTTTGATGCTGCCAATCCGAATCAACGGATCGAAAATAAATGTGATGATACTGACCTTTGTGAGGCATCTTCCAGAAGGGTGGCTCGGGGGTGGGCGAGCAAGGGTTGGCCACCCCCGCGCCCAACAGGGTCCTCGCTGCGTGCAGCGCCGCCGCCGCCGCTTCCCTGCTCCGCGCTGCAGCAGCGCTCGGCGGGTACTCCGAGGCGACGCCCGGGTCACTGCTGCCGCTACCACCGGCGACACCGCCGCCACCACCGCCACCGCCCCCGGCCACGCTAACACAATGCTGCAACCAAACGCGCACGCAACAGTCACATTAGTTGCTCGGATTTCGCTCGAGCGACGCGGGAGACGCGGGAGACGCGGAGACGAATGGTGACGCGTCGAAAAAACAGCACGCGTGCACGCAGCAAACGAGCGCGGCGAGCGACCGAGCAAAAAAAAAAGCCTGCGCATCGTGTTGCCACTCGACAAAGACAAAACGCGTTTAAAATCGGCCGAGCGTGCTCTTTTTTCGGCTACCGTATCTCTCTCGCTCTCTCTCTCTTTTTGCGGCGCGACGCGCTCGCACGCCAAAATGGATGATCGCTGTTGTCGCATGGTAATCCCGCGACTGCTTTGCATTCTTCGCGTCATCGGTGCGCCGCCGCCGCCGCCACCGCTGCACGGCCATGTAAATTGATAGGGATTACAATGACACGGATTTTCATTTTAATCGAATCGCTGGAAAGTTTATTGCGCGGCAAAAGCAATGGACACTGCCGTCGATGCCGTTGCTGTGCAAAGCAAAGCAAGAGAGAGAGAGAGAGAGAGAGTGGCCGAATCACACGGCCGGCGGCGCGTATAATATGCCTCATAAATTCTTTGGGAAAGCCCGCGTGATTAAGGACGAGCTTCGAAGCGACTATATAGACTTCGATTATTCTCCAATGATCGTACATCTTACCCATAATCGCAGAACCCCTTATGCTATCTGTCTAAATGTCACTTACATACACAACATTACTTTATACTTGTTCCAATATTGCTTTTCGCCCAAGCTTCCGTAATACTTGATCGATTGTACGCAAAAATTGTTTCTTTTACTCTCACATTGAATTTTCACAGCAAGCCTCACAACAAATGAATTTTTATGTTAAATGTGCGTTTAATAGTAAATAACTGACTTCAAAGAAAAAATGGTAAGTTCCCGATTTATTCAACGCTTTTTTTTTGTCGATTACTCGCCTTTGCTAAAACGTTCGCCGAAATCGAACAAAAGCAATGCTTGTAACTCACTCAAAATCTTGCTGTAGCTTCGCATTGTAAATTAATTGTGTCGATGCACCATCAACCATCGAAGTGAGCAATGAGTTGACATTGCCAAATAGCAAAGTGGACGTTACAATGTCAGTACTCCATCTCGAGAAAGTGCCTTTCTCTCCAGGTGGTTGTAAGACTACGCTTTGGCCGTTAAGCGAGCGCGTAAGTAAGCACGACGGCTTTTGGTAGCGTGCGCTTGAGGGTCGCCACCAAGCGTATAACGAAATTACTATCCGTTATACGCGCGGCACGTGAGCCTCGGCGCACTTGCAGCTACGCGCAGAAAGATACTGGAGGACTGTCGATGTGACGATGTCACTTGCTTACCGCGACACTGCATGCATTAATTTTTCGCCACAAGAACTACACTGCCGTTCTCGACTTTTGCATCATTGCCTTCGACGGCTTTTTCATTTCTCTTTCACATATACACGATGGCATTGCTTAACGAATGCAACTGCCTAGTAAGATCTCGGATTAAAATTCAGCACGAATCCATTCGCTTGCGATGTTAGCTCGCTCCTTATTTAGCGCTGCTAAAGGTGTCGATGCTTTGGAAAAGAATTGATTGTAACAATAAGCTTGTCAATATCGATGAGAATAAAGCTTTTATTTTATTTGTGCGTATGATTATCTTATTATCATTCGGTCTTATTTAGATTGTAAATTATCGCGGGATAGCTATACAATTAACTTCTAGTAATTTAATAATTATCGGAGTATCCGTAATGCCGCATTTGCAAAGCTCTCGATAATTGGATAAATTGCAATGCATCGATGCCGTCACTGTCTATATCGTTGCTTTGCCGACGCAGCGCGGTATAGCATTGACCATCGTATAAATCATATTTTTACTGAAAAGCTATTTCGTCAGTTAATCTGTAGATAGATAAAAGCAGACGTTATAATATCACGGTGCACCGTTGCAGTACCAAAATGTGCAGGCAACTAACATTTCAGTTGCGTTTCTGTTTATGCGAGCGCTCGCGGAAGGGGTCTTTTGTTAGTAAACAACAAACGTACAATTTGCATTGAAACGTGCGGCGCTCCGCCTCTGAATTGTGCATATAGCTGTATAGCGAATTAATTGATTATCGCGGCAAAATGCTGGTACATTTCCAATGTACACCGTGTACTCGTATTATTAAAATATTCGCGTCCCACGATGCGTCTCATTGCAAATGTTGCATTGACGAATATACGCGTATTGTGGAGCGAAAACTCAGAGTGCTCATTGGTCGTTCGTCTGTTGTTCGAACGACCGTGCGGTGTCGTAAGTGCAATATTACGCGGAGGTCGCAGGTGCGGGGCGAAGCGCTCGCGCTTCTCGGTAAGATTCCGGCTGGTCTTTAAAGTGGCAGAGAAGAGAGGAGCCGACGCCGAGGCTCGACGGCGCGAGCGGGCGGCGAGAGCGCCAAGCGGAGCGAGAGGCGCGTGGATCGGGCTGCCGACGGCCGGCGAAATCGGCGAACGACGCTCGTTTTCGCAGTCCGCGGGGCGGACAGCGGAAGGACATCAGCCAAGCGAGACGAAACGGCTAGGCGTGACTGCGCGAGCCTCGACTAAGTCTTAATCCGCGCGCGCGTGCTGCCACCGTCTCGGCAATCCGGCTAAGAATTATCCGGAGTCGCTCGCTTTGGACGGCCCAACGCCATTATCTCATTAATCGTATCTGTGGCTCGAGAAAGAGAAGGAGCGCCAGGGTACACGTCGAGAATGTTTCCTTTTTTCGCCGGAGGCTGCACACTGTGCGAGAAGGGCCGCGATGCCTATCGCGCTCGATTCCACGAGCTTCTCCAGTTGCCGGCGCTTAACCGTATTATTATCATCGCGCGGCGCTCTCTGTCTCTTTCAATACGTCCCCGTTCCTTCCCGTTTCTTTCGGAAGCTTTCCGCCTATTATTTCCTTGACAGTTATTGTCCTCGAACTATGTTTACTTTTCTCCCGAGAATATGGATCTGCTTTGGATTAACGCTTCTTTTTTTTTTATGTGCACTCTCATCTTTACAGCCCTCATACCTCTACCAGATCAACGCCGATATTTATTACGCTTCAACTTTCATTTTTCAGTTTTTCGACACAATCAACAAGACGTTTAGCCAGTGCGCCTGAATAACCTTTACAAAAGTATTATATGATCTTGGAGGATAGTTTCTCGAAGCATCGTATTTAAATGACTTTAGTTTTTCACTGTCGGACCAGGGCAGATCGAATAGCCGAGCGAACGGGCCGAAATTCCCAGACGCTCCGCGAATGCCGGCGAACATGAGTACGGTCGGGTGTATCGCGGTTTCAAAACAGACTGCCTCCGAGTTGTCAAGGCTGATTAGCTGTCGGCGCGTCGAAGGCATCGGGCGCGCGAAAAACGAGCACGTAACGGAGAGAAGGCAAGACAATGTTCCTGAGGTACGTACCGTGTCGAGAATGGCCGTGGTCAGGCCGGATCCTTTCACCAGCTGAAAGCACTAAACGCGCGACGGCGAGGAGGCTTACACGCAGCAGCCTCGCCGCTGTGTCAAGGCGAGAACGCACCGCTGAGACGTGTCGTCGGCTAGTCCGGTGCCGTGCAGTGTCACTCGACCAAACCAAACAAACAACAACACACAATCGCACTGGACCTCGGTGAGGTCGGAAGTGCTCGGGACCGCTCACTCGCGTCAGGCGGTAAAACGAGACGGTCAGAGGGAGAGAGACAGAGCGAGAGCCGAGGCTCTGCGCGGGACTACGATCGTGTGTCCTTGGACGCCGGGCGTAAGTGCAGCCGAGCACGTGTGAGCCGCTGTGCAGTGACGCGTCGCGCTCAGCTCTACTGCCTCGGTGCTTGTCGCCCGATTGACCAGCCAACTCTGTCGTTGTTGGAGCCGCCGCCGCCGCCGCCGCCGCCGCCGCCGCCGTAGTCACCACCACCGCCGCCGCCGCCGCCGCCGCCGCCGCTGTCAAGCATCTCTCGCGCTCTCTTTCGTTTCGGCTGCTCCTGCAGTCCAACGAGCGCGAGCTGGCCGATCCGGCAGCCTGCCTGCCTGCCTTTTCGATCAGCTATCCCCGGCGCCCCCTTCCCCCGCCGGCTCGCTCTCTCTCGCTCTGGAGCGCGTGCTGCGCGCCACAATTGCCCCTCTCTCGGCCCCGTGGCAGCTCGCGCGATTGCGTGCGCCGCCGTGGAGGAGGCGCCTCGTGGGCGGGGCTGCAGACTGGTGGGGCGCGCGCCGTGCGCGCTGGAGGGGCGCGCGAGAAGGGGCGGGTCGCGTCGCGACGCCATTGTTACGTGGCGGCGCCCCGAACGAGAGAGATAGCGCGCGCGCGATAAGGAGAGTCCGCCGACGCCGACGCCGCAATCGCACGCGAGAGCTGCGCGCTGCACTGCGCCCCTTTTGCGCGCCCGACGTTTCGAGGTTGGTCCGTAGCTGCTATTGTTCTCTCTCTCTCTCTCTCTCTCTCTCTCACTCTGTGCCTCACTCACCCTCGCTCACTTCTGTACCGTTCCTTCTCTGTAGATTACAATTGCTATTGCACAGTTTTCACGACACAAGTCAACCACCGTCTCGCTCGCTCTCTCTCTCTTGCATCTGATTCGTAGCTTTGCCATATACCCATACGCCATAATGAATATCGATCCGATGTAAGTACACCCACTTGCAATTCTAATCATCTATTGTTTTTTTCATTATTTTGATTATCTGTATGGCTTTTGAGTCTGTAATAGTACCGACCCATACCTTCATGTCCATGAGCTATAACTGGCATAAATGCATCGACTCATTTCGTAGAGAGTAGCTTTCACAATTTGACCTTTATAATCGCTTCATATTTCAATAGTACTACGTAAATAGTTACAATGTAAGCACGCAGTTTCCATTTCCATTCGTTCTACACCTATCAGTAGAGTATGTATAACGTGTTATTTAGCTTGCATATAAATTTAAAAATACGTAAAATATATTAGAAAAGTCACTTTTTTTTCTTCAAATTCCCAGACTTTTCATTGATTGCACTTTTATTTTACCTATTACTATGTTATAATCCTTTCCAATGCTCACGTGTTTAAATTGAATGTGCATAAGAAGAATCGTCGTTTGATAATAATTAATGTTTTATCGTGATCCCGGCTGTTATTGGTGCTGGAGAGTAATGAACATTTCAGTGATGAGTATTAACAAAAATACCGATCAATACGAGGTAGTGGAGATTATAAATGGAGGATCGCTGATTTTTGCACCTCCGCGCACGAGCAACGCGCCGTGAAAATTTTCGGAGCATCGCAGTGTAAAACGAGTTTCAGGGATGGTTTACAAATCCAGACCCGCAAAATCGAGCAAAACGCATTTAACGTCGTTTAATCTCACGTGTATATACATATATATATATATAAATATATATGTATATATATATATATATATATATATATATATATATATATATATATATATATATATATATATATATATATGTATATATATATATATGTATATATATATATAATATATATATATATATATATATATATATATATATATATATATATATATATATATATATATATATATATTGTCCGCGCGTCTATATAGTGCTCCAAAAAGCCATTATAGGTTTTATCGACGCCGCGCAAGAGCGCTCTCCCTCTCTCTATCGCTTCCGCGCATGCTAATCACAGCTTTTCGATCCAAGCGAGTCGCATTTTCCGACGCCTGCTGACAGTCGAGCTTTTTCTCCGATTGCCAGGCTGTGTACGCTTGTTTTTCACTTCTACCACCTGTACGCCTATGTATTACCTTTAGTTCTTGTTACGCGCATCGCCGAGACAGCGGGCCTCCTTTTCATGCGACTATTTTCCATTAGCAATACTTGGCTGGCAGACTATTAAGCAATTCAATTGTAATGACAAATGATAATTTTATTAGCTCATTCGACATTATTTCTAAATCTATGCAACACAAGTGGCCAAACCAATTTGCTACAGTAAAGCGCACTGACAGTAGGATATACTGCAGCGCTCGTGTGTGCTAGATGAATCTTGAGTACGCACTAAAGATGCAAACTTACTAATTAGGAAAACGTATTTGCAGAAAATGTCAAAATTACCCTTAACGCTCGAATTTTGTTCCTCCCTCTCTTCAACAACTCCGCGAGCTGCAAGCAACGAAGCAGCGGCGGCAAGAAGGGGGCTCGACATTTTTCCGTGCCGCGAGCTCGTCGTATAGCTGCGGCAGTGTTTCTGTCTCTCAAGCCTTTGGCCTTTTTGCGCCGCGACGCATCGACATTATCGAAGAAGTGAAGCAGGAGGCGGGCAGGCGAGTGCATTTCGCGGCAGCAGCCGACATCTCGCTGTAATCAGACACCAGTGAGGACGCCGCCGCGCCTAATTGAAAACATCCAAGTGAGACAGCCAACGAGAGGAATCGCAAGCTCCTGTGATCCGTGCCGCCGCTGCTTCTCTCTTCGTCCACAGTCTCTTAGCCGCAATTAAAAAGCAACCCCTTCTCTCTTTCTCTCTCTCTCTCTCTCTCTCTCTCTCTCTCTCTCTCTCTCTCTCGTTCGTTCTTTTTTTACCAGTGCCGCGCCTGTTTTCGCTTACATACATTTCTGCTTTTAAATATTTTCCTTCTCTCGGATTTTTGCTCGTACTGCCTTTAATTTTGCTCTCTCAAATCGTGCTATCAACGAGTGCACATGATGAGCATGCACTGTTTTTTTACTTTACTTGGATGCAAGTGCGTGTTCACTTGGCTTTTCTCATCTCCCTTTGTCTATGTTTGATGCAGCTCGCCTGTAGGTGACACCACACAACTGTTTTCTATTAACTAATTCTATTGATAATAGCAGTAGTTAGTTAATTATTAGTTGTTGGCATAAAGTGATATTACTGGGTTGTCGTTGCAGCTTTAGACCAATTAATTATTTCCAAATTAATTTGCAGGTGTACATAGAATAGGACGGATTATTTGTGTGAGATGAGTCTTTGTCTGAGTGAATGAAAACATTTTGGTGGAGGGAGCCGATTGTGGCTGAACGCAACTGTCGAAGTCCATTATGCCTTTTATCTGTACGGAAAAAAATTGACCTCGTTTATCCATCTATTACATAGGAATGGCTGCGGCGGCAGCTATTTTCCAGGTTGTTCTCGCGCGCACGTACATCCGTTGGTACCTGTGGCGCGCGATGCGAAGAAGAAAATAATGAGAGAGAGAGAGAGCGATGGGTGGGGGAGAGGGGGAAAGAAGGGAGGAGGTTTCCCAGATGCAAGAACGACCGAGCGGCAGGCTGCGCTCTTGTCTCGATATGTTGCGCGCATGAGCGCGCACGGGGCGCGATAATGCGTTTCAAACTGTAGGTCCGCGGTACCGTGTACAGCGTATAAGTAGGTGTAAATGCCGGTGGGCTAGGTTCGGCACTCTACACGCACGCGCGCGCGCGCGCAGACATCACACACAGGCGCAACAACACTTTGATGCCATCTCACCAAAGGAGATGCCGCCAAAGGCCGCTTTTCTTTTTGCCTGATAGCTTCAATAGGAAGATTTTCTCTCACAGGAAGATCTCGCGCTCCACTTTCCTCCCTTACTTTCTTCACAGTTTCGTTCTCTTGTTGGCTCTTGTGACGTGCCGCCGTTGTTGCCTTCGCCGATCCAGATGGACTGCAAACAATATGCAACAATGCTGTGCTCATTGTATGGCTAACTTCAGTTGATCCGCAGGCGTGACGCGGTGAATGCCCGTGCGTAGCAACGATCCAACGAAGCGCCTGCGCTTTCAGTCTTTTTAACGAGGCTTCGAATGATGCTACGGCTAAACGTTCCTCGATTATTATTAATAGCTGAGATGGCCGAAGGAGAGGATTCGTACAAGTGGGTAAAGCACACGCGGAGCAGTGAATTCACGAGGGTGATGTTGGCGTGCAAATCTATCGAGAAAACGTATCTATCATCTCAAGTACACGGGCGCACTCGAGGCATTGTAAATAGACAGGCGTGTAGCGACAAGCGTACATGGTACACGCGTACATGACGCGAACACGTCGTAAAAGAGGGGGGCAAAAGCTGTTGTGGGTAGAGGCGGCAAAGCGCCGCCTCCGATGAAAACAGCTTCGCGAGTACAGTGTGCAGGCACCGGTGACTCTCGTGTTTTCGGCCCAAGTTATGCACCCCACTTTTCGAGCATGGAGAACCCCTTCTCCTTTTCGTGCGGCGACAGGCCTCCTATTCTCCATTTCCCGTTCTCTATGGCGCTACACAAAATCCATACATCGCACGTGCAGCGTTCGCGCTAATTTATGGAGCGCGCGCGCTCGTGACGTCAGGCCACGGCGATGGAGGGACGGAGAAAAAATATTTATGTAAATGTCAACACTCGATAGAGAAAATGAATTATGGACTGGGCTGGTCGCGCGAGGCTTATCTGAATTTAGAAAGTCGCCGAGTGGAGAGCGCTCGCCATATAGCTATACGTATATGCGGTAATGGCTCATTTAGTATGCGCCCTGATGATCGATCAATCATCATCATGACGACTTATCTGAGAAAATCAATCGATTTTTAGCTGTATTTTATTCCCGCGTGCGCTCCTTCCTTTCCACGTTCAACGTCTACTCACAGTGTTATCCCAAAGTACGTAGCCATAGAAAACTGAGTTTTGTTACAGTTCGCCGACTGCCCTTCCTTCGCGCGACCACTTCCCCAGTTACTTACTTTCAATTGTCGGATGTAGACAGCATCATTCATTTCAGATTATTATAAAAAACTTTTCGAAAGTGCAATGACAACGTCAATTAGCAGCATTAGCTACGTCAATCCGGAAGTTTGTCTTTTGGCCTTTTCAATGTCATTTAAAAGCCGACGGCGTTTTTCAGCGTGAGCCGAAAATAAAGGAAGCCAAGTACAACAGGCCGAACTGAGAGATACAGCAAGGAGGACGAGAGAAATGGCGAAAAACTTGGAATAGAATG